GCAGAAGATTTAATCATACATACTGTACAACTACCCAATCAATGGGTGTTGCTGCTCCAGTGAGACAATCTGGAATAAATCCAAGATGTCTCTTAAATCGGTATTGTTGTTTGGCTCTGAATCTAACCAGTCATTTAATAAATGCCCTGAGATGCTGCCCCATGTGAAAGATGCTTTACAAATGCAAATTGTTGCTGCTGTTGTAATAAATACCAGATCCCATTATAGTTATACAATATCTTTTTCTTGTGACGGGTGTGATTCCCACTGTGGTTCTGGGAAGCCTGAGACAATAATCATCTACCTTAAGAGTTCATATAGGTGAACCAGTATAGTAAGTTACAAAATTGTGCACAAACCAAGATACTGACTGCAGTTAGACCAAATAAAATAACAACAGCTTATATTCAAACAGCACTTTTCACATGATGTCTCAGAGCACTTCACAATGGCAGGGTTGGATACCAAAAAGGGGAAGGAGGAAGTTGACCATACGTACGGTCAAAGAGGTATGTTTTCAGGTGGGATTTAAAGATAGAGAAGGGCGAGGGAGTTCTAAAGGTTAGACCCATCTCAAGAACCTCTTCTTTGACCATGCTTTCGATTGCCCTGCTTCCTCAGCCCCTAGGCTCTGGAACTCCATCCCCCAGTGCCTTTGCCTTGCTTCCTCCCTTTCCTCCTTCAAGGCCGGTCTCAAGACCTTTCTCTTCAACCGTGCCTTCACCTCCCTTCTCGAGTCTTTACCCCCTCCTCGCTCCCTCCCTTCCCTCCCTTCACCCTGACCACTTCCCCCCTGCTCGGGTCCCGACCCAACTGTCCAGCACCTTGGGACGTCCTCCCAACATGAAAGGCGCTCTATAAATGCAATATTGTTGTTGTTGATCCCCCCTGCCCTCCACTTTCCCCAATCCCGATCCCCAGCTTGGGTCCGAAATTCTGACTGTCCAGCGCTTTGGGATGTCCACTCGACATGAAAAGTGCTTATACAAATGTAATTTTGTTGTTGTTGGGAGCCATAGTGATTGAAGGCTCAGCCACTGATGGTGATGCAGAGAGGGTAGGGAACCCAAGTAGACCCAAGCCTGATACATAACCTCTATACGTTTCTTTCTCATTTTACTGCAATTTGTACTTTTATTCTTGGAGAGAATGAACTTTATTGCACTTTCTCCCACCACCTCTGAAGTTGCTGACAGATGCTGGAATACAGATCCACTTGGTGTCAGTCACTCCCTGTAAACTTTCTGGTGAAAGACTAGATATTCCCATCCTACCCTCTCTCACACACACTCCACCCAGGACCACTGAGGCCAACTGTACTACTACTAGCAAACAGAGGAGGTCTGACAACATGTTCTAAGGGAAACTAGGGATGAGCAATAAATACTGGCTTCACCAATGCAGCAGCCAATTTCGCACAGCAGTGTCCCACAAACAGTCGTGGATTGAAAATGACCAATTTATTATTGTTTTGGAGGGATTATTATTAGACTTGTGGAGTAAGGAAACTTGGCCAAGGTTTCGCCCTGCCTGGAATTGAACTCAAATGTCTCACTTGCAAAGCAAGTGCTCTAACCACTGAGCTACAGGACTCCACGCTATATAGCACCTTATCACATCGCCAAACTGACTCAAAGAGCTATCTATGGAGTGTAGTTTTTATGTATTTCGTAGGTGAACCCAGCAACCAAGTTGTACACAGCAATGTACCACAAAACAGCCAGGAATTGAATGATTAATTATATTTTGGGGATTGTTGGCCAGGACACCACAAGAAACTCTCTCCTCCTTTTGAATAGTGCCATGGAATCTTTAAAGGCATTTCGCCCACAAAATATTTTATAGTATTTCATTTTATAATATATTATGTGAAGCACTTTGAGACGTCTCAGTGATGTGATAAGGCACTATATCAAATGCAACGATTATCATTATTAAAATCCACTTTAACAGACAGACAGAACCTCCGTTTAACATCTCATCCGAAGGACAACATCTCTGGTAATGCAGCGCACCCCTAGCAGTGCAGTATTAACTTAGATTATGAGCTCAAAGTCCCGACATGGGGCTTGAACCCATAATCTTCTAATTTAGGTAAGAGTGCTACCAACTGAGCCAGGCCGGCACATCTTCAAGAATTCATCACTAAAGTTTTCCCCAGTTCTTTTCAGTTGCCATCAAAAATATGCATTGATATTAATGCCCATGTGAAAAGGACTATATAAGTCCATGTTGTTTGTTGAATGATTGTTTTTTCAATTCCCAAAATTAGGCAGCTTTACCACTGGCTGGATATTTTTAGTTATTTGCCTCTTCCACCTCTCATATCTACTTCCCAGTTTCCAGAAAGATTCCTCTCCTCCCTTCCTAATAATTTTTGAATACTGCGTTAATGCCATCTTATTTTTGCATCCGCTTTCCTCTCTTAATCCTACCACCCCCTTGGCACCATAATCAGCCACCAGAGGCATTTCTTTCTTCCATGAGATTTCTCTAATTTATGATCTTTTTGACAGTATTTTATTCCCAGAGGCCTTTGGGATCTCACAGCCTTTTCTGCATCTTCACAGACTAAAACCACTTTCCCGTTCTGCTTGGGTTGATTGAAATGGGTGGGGTTTCGCTCAGGCAGTTTGTGTTTGGTGAGACGTCTGTCATTTGCTCATTTGAGGTGCTCAACGCCAACAAATGTGAATTCATATCTATGGCATCTCCAATTATCACCTTGCTCACCGCTGTTCTATTCTCCACAATCTCCAGACCTCTGCAGCCCACCTTCTCTCCCACAATAACGCTCCACAAACTCATCACCTTCATTCTCACATGGCTCCACCGGCTCCCTATCCCCCAGCGTTTAACCTCATAAATCCTTCTCCTCACCTTCACAGACTTGCAAACTCCCACCCCAGAATTCTCTTGTATCCCACTCTTCTGCTCATCCCCTCCAACTCTGGCTTCCCCCAACCTCTAGAATTCCATCCCTCAATCACTCCGCCTCACCTCCTCCGTGGCCTCCTTCAAGTCCCGCCTGAAAATGCTCCTCTTCGACCATGCCATCGGTCACCCCCTTCCCCTCCGCTCCCTTCTCTCCCCCTGACCCCAGCTCAGTGTACAGTCTGAAATGCGCCTTGAGACATCCTCCCAACATGAAAGGTGCTATATAAATGTAATCTTGTTGTTGTTCCTTCATTTACCCCACTATCAACGGGCAAGCTTGCAGCCAATTTTCCCTGACCTTGGGCAAGTTTCCTCACTCCACACGCCTAATAATAATCCCTCCAAAAAAAACAATAATAAATTGGTCATTTTCAATCCACGACTGTTTGTGGGACACTGCTGTGCGCAATTGGCTGCCGCGTTCGCCCACAAATATACAGTCAATTCACTTTACAGTATATTCTGTGAAGTGCTTTGAGACGTCTAGAAGACGTGAAATGCGCTATATCAAATGCAAGGATTATTATTATTAGCTCCGTCAAAGCTCTCACTCGGACTTCGTAAAGCACTTTTAGATATAAACAATGAAAACATTGTATTTACTCTAGTCACCTTATAGAAATAGTGTGAACTTCCTTTGAGTCTAATTTGGATCACCTGACATAGCAAAAGAGTTCCACGGTTTAACATGTCATCCGAAGTACATCACCTCTGACAATCAAACTCTCCCCAGAATTGCACTGGAGTATCAGCCTGGACCAAAGTCTTGATGTGGGTCTTAGCAGTTGCTATTCACTGAGCCAAGCTGCCACCTAATTCTCTCCACGACACTGATCCCTCCTTTACTACTATCGAAGGCTAAAACATTTTAAGATGAGTCTAAAACCTCATAGTCGTGCTCATTAATCTTTTTCATGCCAAAGAAAATTGTGAAACTGAATTGCCACATTATTATATAACTAATTTATATTACAATTACATCAAAGTCTGACTAAAATCAATTACTCTTTTCTTGTTTAGTTCAGGGATAGAAATTGTTACAAGACCCAACTCTGAACAGAGTAGAGTTGATGAGTTAAAATTTGGATTTGGCCACTCAATGATCTGAGGCGAAGCCAGCTATAGCCAATAAAAGACAAAATGCAGACCTGTTCCACTAGTCCAGCGCAGCACATCTAAATAATGGGAAGAAATTCCAACTGCACTTCGAGACATCCTGACACCTGGCACTATACGTGTGCAAACTGGTTGCTACGTTCACCCACAAATACACCGTCAAAACAATTTTTTAGTGAAAGTGCTCAGCCAGCAGAGTCAAGCACTTCGAGGCTTCCTCCCGACATGAAAGGTATAAATGTAAACTGCATTGTAAAATCTTGCGAAGCGTTTTGAGACGTCTCGACGACGTGATAAGACTCTGTATCAAATGCACGCATCACTATTGTTCTATATCCACGCAAATTGTTCTTTTAGTTTTACTCTATTTAGGTAGAGTTTAAAAGCCTGCAGAATTTGGCAACCTGGTAGAATTTACTCTTAACTTTCAAGTCGTTTTTGCGCGGCTCTCAAAAGAACCTAAGAGAAAACTGGCTTCAAAATTAAAGGCGGCGTCTTCAAGAACTTGTCAGATTCGGGGCACTCTGAATGAAATGCCATGGAAATCAAAGAAACCTAGACCCATGTGGAATTTCTGTCACCCAATCTCCGCGACAGCACCCCAAATCTGGGGAGAAACTTAAGTCACGGTCACTACACACTCCTTCCCACATCTCTCCAGAGTTTCACTTTCTGCTCAGTGTCTTCTAAACGCAATGTTTGCGCCTGCGGTGGGGGATTGGAGCACCCACCGGTCGGCTTAAAAACCTTAGCCATGGAATGAAAGAAATGCAACGGGTTATCGTCATCAGGTCCTCCTCGAGAAGACACCCAGACATTTATTTACTTGCATTTATTTACTAGAGGGGGCAAAAAAAAGCCTGGCTCTACCCTGTGATCTGGTTGACACTCTGAATCCCCCCCCCAAAAAAAAACACTCCAAAACCCACACAACTTCAAATACTTACCATTCTGGTTGGCCAGTCCAGGGTTTTGAGGAATCCTGCACAGCCTTTCGATGCCTCGCACAAACCCCACCTTCGGAATAAAGTGGCCTCAGACCTGATCCCCAGCCCAGGGGTCTGCACTCAATTAAAATTCCGCAGGAGTTTTACAACCTGACTCCTCCGACCGTGCGCTCCAGCACCAGCAGCAGCCCCACAGCACCAGCAGCTCCTCCAGCAGCAGCCCCACAGCTCCAGCTCCAGCAGCAGCAGCCCCCCCAGCACCAGCAGCTCCTCCAGCAGCAGCCCCACAGCTCCAGCCCCACAGCTCCAGCAGCCCCCCCCAGCACCAGCAGCTCCTCCAGCAGCAGCAGCAGCAGCCCCACAGCTCCAGCACCAGCCCCACAGCTCCAGCCCCAGCAGCTCCAGCAGCAGCAGCCCCCCCAGCACCAGCAGCTCCAGCAGCAGCAGCAGCACCCCCAGCACCAGCCAGCGGCTCCGCCTTGGTGTCAGCCAGACACCCACCCACCCAGACAGACAGACAGACAGGACAGACAGCCCCTGTTTGTCAGTCTCCCCTCCTCCCTTCCCCTGCCTGGCGGCTCGGGCTCCGGCCACGTAGCGCTGGAAGGAGGCGGGGAGGGATCAGCCCCCGTGTGCACACACACACACAGGACCAGGACAGGCAGCCCCCCCCCCCCCCCCCCCCTGGCCTGGCCCCTCACTCTCTGCCCCTCACCAGCCCTCCAGCCTTGTTGGGGTCCGGGTTACACAGTGGCCGCCACAGCATTCTCACCCTTATCCCTCTGGCAATGCCAATGCAAATAAATATTAACTTCACTGAGCGGATAAGGCAATTCATTTGACTGTGTGTGTGTGTGGGTGGTGGGGGTGGGGGGGGGGGGGGAGCCTATACATAACTGATATCTTTAGAAAATATACAGTCAATTCGCTTTACGGTATATTCTGTGAAGCGCCTCGAGACGACTCGACGACGTGATGAGGCGCGTTTATCAAATGCAAGGATTATTGCAAAGGTGGAACAATGTGTACCGTGTTGGTCACCTCTGCATTCAAAGGACTTTGTGGCGGGGGTGGGGGGGGGGGTGGGGGGGCACTAAAGGGTTCGGAACAGCAACAATGATGATTTCAGAGTTCGAGGTCTAACTCACGAGCAGATGCTCAGAGTTAAAATCAGGACTGTGTAGGGCCGGAGAGTTAGTTGACTCATCAGTGATCGCTCACCGTGTGAAAGCACTGAGGCAGCAAGAAAGAAGGCAAACAGGATGCTGGGCGACACTGACAAATCAGTTGAGTTTAGATCCCTGGAGTGCGTTGTACAGATTTAGTCACTGTGAGATGTCCAGCTTATGGGCAGTACAGAGGAGAGCAACGAGGATGATCCCCAGTGTTAGACAAATAACATTATAAGCAACAATTAGATAAAATAGGCCTTCATGACAGACGTTGGATTAATTTAAGAAACATCTTGGTGCTGATACAGGAGGACAGTCGGATGGGTCTGGGAAACGATAGCAAATGCGCCAAATGATCTTCTTCACCCAAACCGTTTTGTGATTTGTTAAGACCTATTATGGCCTATCTTGCCAGTGTCATTTTAAAATCACCCCTTTCTCTCAATCTCACATAACCCCCAATGCTATTCACCATAGAAAAAAAAATCTAGCTTCCTCTTGAATCTGGGTTTTATTATAATCGTTGCATTTGATATGGTGCCCTATCACACTTTCAAGGTGTCTCAAAGCACTTCACAGAATATGCTCTAAAGTGAATTGACTGTATATTTTGTGGGCGAAATGCAGCAGTCAATTGCGCACAGTAATGTCCCACAAACTGTCATGGATTGAGTGACCATATTATTTTTTTGAAGGGATTAAAAACAGGTAAACAGAGGTACATGGAGAAAGGAAACTTGTTCAACATTTCGCCCTGCCCAGGAATCGAATCCAGGTCCTCTTGCTTGCGAGGTGAGTGCTCTAACCACTAAGACTCCACAATGCGTTCATGTGCTAGGTGTAGAGGGAAGTATGGGTGAACATAATTATAATTAACAAGCAATGAAAAAGATTGGTTATTAATGACATAATTCAGAAATTCTTTTCATTATATTTAAGATCAATTTCCACATGTATTCTGTTCCACATGTACGCCAATAATACCCAATTCTACTTCTCTGTTTCAACCTTCGTTTCCACAACGACTGTCATTCTAACTGACTGCCTGTGAGTTAATCGATGAACCTTAATTTCCTTTCATATGGACTTCCAACAAAACTGAAGTCATTTTATTCAGCTCTTGACAGTGCCTTCTTGTCTCTCACTCTGACTCAATCACTCTCCGTAGCTCTCACTCTACCTGACTGAAGTACATAACCTAGGAACTTTGTTTGGCCCCAGCTTTATCCTACATCTGTACCTTGACCAAGACCTCCTTCTGTCTTTTCTCACTTTCTAATTTACTACCCCTGCAACCAAATCACTCATCTAAACTTTTGTCAGGTTGAGGCTAGATTCTAACAACAGTCTCTTCACCATTCTCTCTAACCACATCCTCAATGAACTCCAGTTCTTGTTCAGTAACTCAACAACCCATAATCTCTCCCACCTCAAACTCAGCATACCCATTGCCCCAATCATTCAGCTCCACTGGCTCCCCATCTCCTTGTGGATGAAATTCAGGATCCCTTCCTTACTTTCAAATGCCTCCAAAACACATTAATAATAATAATAATCCTTGCATTTGATGTAGCGCTTTTCACGTCGGGAGGAAGTCCCAAAGCGCTTCACAGAACACACTGTAAAGTGAATTGACTGTATATTTGTGGGCGAACGTAGCAGCCAATTGCACACAGCAATGTCCCACAAACAGTCGTGGATTGAAAATGACCAATTTATTATTGTTTTTGGTTTTGGAGGGATTATTATTAGGCTCCGTGTGGAGTAAGGAAACTTGCCCAAGGTCTCGCCCTCTGCCTGGAATTGAACTCAGATCTCTCACTTGCAAAGCGAGTGCTCTAACCACTGAGCTACAGGACTCCACTTGACATTAAATGTCAAGTATTCAACTGTATGTCATTCTTGTGAATTATCTTTGTTAACTTTTAAAAAGGCTAATTGAAAGGAACACAAGAAATAACAACGAGAAGGTAAATGCAAATAAATGATCTTTTTAAGATTTTGGAGGGGGGTAGGGCTTTACACACAAAATGAGGATTGTACTGTACTGACAAAAAACATAAAAATAAGTAAAAAGAAACGTGATTGAACTTTGTTCAGATTCCATTGGAAGTCATACAAACAATAATTGGTCCATTATATGTTCACAACAGAGGCACAATTATTGCACTGTAGATTTGAATGTTTCACAGTGAGGTAGCAACTACTTACAACAATTTTGAAGGTTAACCTGAGCACTCACTGAAATCTGAAGTGCTTTGTGATTCTGTATATTGCTTCATTTTAAGAGTCAGCAATAAAGATGAGTAAATAGCCACATCTATTGAGAATCCAACTACATGCAGAACTTCAAAACCTGCAAACATTCAGTCTCTCAGTGGGGCTTTCATAATGTATTAGTTTGGGCGGCTCACTAAATACCTCAATAAAAGGTATTGAACATTTAAAGTAATTATTTTTTGTCAATTCACGTTTTCAACATTTTCAATACTACTTGGGAAACTGCAGTAATAACAGATGTCCATGAATACAATCTATACCAGCATAAACATTCCATTTGTTTGATAATTTTATAAGCCCCTGTTGTACATGTAAATATTCTACCAGAAAATACTATGCAACATATTACAACTACACATTGCTATGGTACAAACAGTAGATGCATAATAGATTAATTTACCAATCTCTTGAATTTTAGTACTTTTGCAGCAGTTGACACTGAGATTGTTTACTAATATTTTCCTAAAGTTTATATGTGCATGTAACACTGAGGGATATTTTCTTCTTTCAATGCAAGAATTAAATTGTGTTACCATTTTCTTGTTGCTACAATATTTCCAATTGCTTTGATTGTAACTTTACACTCTGCATGACCCAAGAAAATAATAGGTAGAAGAAAAGAGTGGAAATTTGATCGTAAAGAAGCCCCAAATACAATTTTTTTTAATAAAAGCTTATTATTTAGAAATTATTTCACTGACCATAAAGGGCCATTGCTTGTTAAGTGTTTGAATTGGTTATAATGATATTAATTGTTTTCTTAATGGAAAAATAAATCCTCAGTTATCTGCAAATCATACAGTACAAACTAACATTGTGAAAATAATTTATTTCAATCTTCTATTAGAGGTTATAAGGTACTTTGTGAGACAGTATAGATGGATTGGGTAATACACCGTTTTGGAAAAAAGATTTTAATCTGACCTAATTCCAAAGTTAATTTGCAGTAACACATTTCATTACTTCTGTATTCGATTTGATCTTTTTAAAAATGATAATAATGATAAAGGTATCCAAGATATTCAGACTAATCAATTCTTCCTGCTTAATTATCAAATAAGATGTTTAAAAAAAATTTAATTTTAAAATGTACAATTTGTTCAAATACACATCTGGTGATACAACCTTATAAAGAAAGATTAAGTGTTGTTTCTTTCTTTAAAAAAAACTTTGGTGAAGAAACTAATATTATAAATACATTGATTTAAAAATACTGCAAATTTCCCCAAACACCTTTGAAAAAAAACGATAATTGTCATTGTTGTCACTTTAATCGATTCCATGCATACTTTTGAGTTGAAGGCAAAAGAAGAATACTGCTCTTCAACCTTACTGATGTTTGGTCCTATCTTGCAGAAGTGAGTTGTTTAACTTGATCACAGTTGTAGCAAAATCGACAAGTTCCACAAAGTCTGATGTGATGATATTGACACCGTTTACACCAGGTTTCTGAGACTTCACCCAATTCATTATTATTGGAAGATTTCTATGAAAGAGAAAACAGCATCAGATCATGTGAAGGTTACAAATCATTCAGAGTAGAATGTACGTAAAAACTTGCTGACACTTGAATGCAGTTAAAATTGTTTTTCCCACAGCAAAGAATGTACATTTTTGTGTCACTGTGAAATATGCCCACCTAGTGGTTGAGCCAGGAATTAAGAAAAACAATCGTATAAAAAAATAACCTTTGCACATTGTTGAAACATCTCAAAGAGCTTCACAGGATTTTTAATGCAATTGTGTAGTGGCTGCGTGTTGGCAGGTATTGAGTTTGCAACACACCCCCTAGCACTGCATCGGAGTGTCGGCTTAAACTATGCGAGTTCAACTCCCACAACTTGAATCCACAATTTAAACCCACAATCTTCTAATTCGGAGGTGGGAGTGCTACCACTCAGCTGACAAACTATAGCTAGAACTTGAAAAATCAGCTCAATATTAATAACAGTCCTTGCATTTGATATATCGCCTGATTGCATCTTTTAGGCGTCTCAAAGCGCTTCACAGAATATACTGCAAAGTGAATTGACTGTATATTTTGTGGGCGAAACGCGGCAGCCAATTGCACACAGCAGTGTCCCACAAACAGTCGTGGATTGAGTAACCAGATTATTTTTTTTGTAAGTAATTATTACCCCCGAAAAAGCATGTGCCAGTCGACTAACAACCAGGTTCCCACTGACTGCTAGGTCAATAGAGGAGTGTGGAGTAAGGAAATTTGCCCTGCCTGGGAATCAAACGCAGGTCCTCTCGTTTGTGAGGCAAGTGCTCTAACCACTATGCTATGGGACAATTGTTCATAACCCATGTGCATATCCCATAGACATGGGATGACTAATAACATAACCAGGCTCAAAAATCTACTTGCAGTGTCTATTAAAATATAATTCCCTAAATTGCTTTTAATTAATTGAATTTCAAGAGGAGGCTTTGCAATATAAGCCAACCAAAGTCTATAAGATTATGGAAGTATGTTACGTGTAAGAAACATCCTGACCTTTTTTTTTTAAATTGAAGTAATAATAATAGACAACACTTATACTTGAACCATAATAAATCCTACCTTGTAACCAGCGAGTCCCTTAGACCAACGATCCATCCCTGCATCACAGTTCTGATTTGTGGCGTTAGAATAGCTTGTGAGACATGAAACGTGCCACGTTTTGCACGCTCACCCAATGTCGTCTCTAGGAACTGCACCAGTTTCTGTGCGTCTGTTGTGTTTGCCCATGGGGCTGGCATTTTATGTCCTGGCCAAAGAAAGGGAAACTCATGTGCTATGGGATGGTGGTAAAAGACAAGAACCTATGCAAAGAAAACAAAACAAGTTACTTAGATGAATACTTAAAAATATTTTTTTTTGTTTGGCTCTATGCTTCTACTCAGTCATTTTTTCAGATGGTATTCGCATTAAATATATACATGCAATTACTGCACTGTAGTAAATTAGACACTGCACTGAGTCCCATTAGACACTCAAGAGGTGAGGGGACTACCACTGAGCAATAATTTGTAAGTTGCCTTGTTAGTTAATTAATTGAATTGCACCAACCTTTGAGGATTTTAGGTGGGCAGATTTGGGGAATACCATGGAATTGAGTTGCCAGAGTTATTCATTGATGAGGGGGAAGCTGAGGTTCAGGAAATGCAGGAATGGTCAGTGGCAATGTGCATTTTCCAGAGGGATCTAGTGAGGTGCGTTTTCTAGGGCATTCAGAAATGTTTTCCAGGGGTATTTAGTGGGATACATCAGTCTAAGGATACCTTTGGTTATAATAAGTTGTGGAGCCTTCTACAAAAGTGCTATAACTAAAGTAATTTTTTACATTTTAAAAAAATACAAATAACTTTGAATCCATGAACAGAACGATGGCTGTTCCTACCATTAACCCCAGGAACCACGACTAATGTATCATTCCATTCTTTTCACCTCCTCAACGAGACAGTTAGAACCTTGACATTTTAGGAACAGTGAACAAGCTGATTTTTTTTGGGGGGGGGGGGTGTGGTTGAGGGTTTCATGTTTCATTAATATAACTTTTACTATAAAAATACATTTTGAAATCTTATATCGTCTCATCTTTAAAATACAAGGTGCAGAGTTCAATTCTTTCCAATGGAGATCCCTGTCAAATCTGGCTATTATGGTCAATCTATCGGAATTTTGCCTACAAAATACACAGTCAATTCACTTTATAGTATATTCTGTAAAGCGTTTGAGACATCTCGATGACGTAATAAGGCGCTTCGTCAAATGCAAGAATTATTCTAATTACATACATCTGGTTCTTTATGAATGATATTGAAGGAGACAAAATGTTTTCTGATGGCAAGCAAGCAGAGAAATTAAAAAGGAAATTCCCTTGGCCACGCTCTAACACCTGCTAATGACTGGTTACAGAGGGGGCATCAACCAATGTTTAATAATAATAATAATAATCCTTGCATTTGATATAGCGCTTTTCACGTCGGGAGGACGTCCCAAAGCGCTTCACAGAACACACTGTAAAGTGAATTGACTGTATATTTGTGGGCGAATGCGGCAGCCAATTGCGCACAGCAATGTCCCACAAACAGTCGTAGATTGAAAATGACCAATTTATTATTGTTTTATTTTTTTGGAGGGATTATTATTAGGCGTGTGGAGTAAGGAAACTTGCCCAAGGTTTCGCCCTCTGCCTGGAATTGAACTCAGGTCTCTCGCTTGCAAAGCGAGTGCTCTAACCACTGAGCTACAGGACTCCACGTTTAGGAAAATATCAAGCTGTCATCAAAACAGAGGATCCTGCACGGCCAGCAAAAGCAAACCTTGGGTAGAAATTACAATAACTTGCATTTATATATCTCCCTTTTATGCGTGGCAGCGTCTTAGAGTGCACAAAATTAAATACCTTTTTACAAACAATTCGATTCGTATTTCCCTCTCGGTTTGAATCCACAGATTTACATTTTTATAAACTTTAACAAGAAGAGGGAAACTCACTAACACTTTTGTCCAATTATTAACAGGTAACATTTTAACTTTGCATTGTCTGACCAACATCTTCTCAAGCATCCTTTCAATTGCAGTTACAGTATTTTATTGAAATACAAGGAATTAACCTGGCATTTTTGCTCCCATAGATATTGCAGTGTCACTTCCTCTACCAATTTGGCTCTGGAAAGTTTGGTTCCAAAAACATCTTTAAGCATTTGAACAAGGTCTTTGTGATGCGAGTCCTCCATAGCATAATGGTGATTGAAATCTAAAAAGATCACCTCCTTAGGGTGGTTTTTGAGGAAGTAGTTAATTTGCTTCAATCCCTCACGGACTTTAATACCAAACAAACCGTGTATAAAATAGAGCTCATTGTCCTCGTCTCCGGGTTTTGTGGAAACACGAAGATCAAAATAACGTATGCCAGCTTCAAGCTGTTCTCTGAATGTCAGGCTTTGTGTCATGGACCATTTCTTCATGTTTTTTTTGAACAGAGACCGGAAAATCTCCGCCAAACGTTTCACCACAACTGATTGATCTGGTCCCACTGGAGACTTTTCATCCACCCAGAAGCTGAAAGAATCGTGAGATCCTGGAAAACAACAGAAACAACTTTCATTTACATTGAGCCCTTCACAAACAATCATGTCTCAGAGCACTTCACACAAAGACAAGGTCAGACGTGGACACCCAGGAAGGGTAGAAGGAGGTGACCATAGTCACGCAGTCAAAGAGGATTTTAAGACAGATAGATAAGGGGTGACACAGAGATTAGCAGTGTAGTAGCTGAAGGTTTGTCCACAGACAAGAGATTCCAGATTGTGTGTGTATATGTGTGTGTATACTATATGTCAAACTTATAGAATATTGAAGTTTTGGGCAAGGTTGGGATTCTTCCTGTTCCAAACATTTTTTAAAAAATTGCCTTCAGCTCTGTGCAAGTATGATGACTGTGCTTTGAGATGTTGATGCATATATTTTTTCTCCCAAAACTGTTTATATTTTATTTTTTGAAATGCAACATATAAAAGTATCAAACGCCCCAAAAAATAGAGGGACAGCCTCCATTCTGAGACCAGAATCTTTTTAAAGAAAGCAGTTAATCAAGATAAAACAAATGAGCATTGATATACCAGAAACCGGGCAGCGTAACTAGAGAAGGTCCACGATGGGGAAAAGCTGCAAGGACAAAGACAAGAACAGACCCAACCTCTAGGTTCCTCTAGGTCTAGAATTTTATAAAGCCAGCAGTTAATGGCCTAACTTACAATAACAATTTATATTTATTTACAAACATATGGAGATTGAAATAGTACTCATTAAAGCAGTAACACAGTTTGGCTGGAACTATATATACACGTGTTAAAAAAAATCACTTCAATTTGTCACTACATTTCATTAATCTATAACTCAAGCGACAGGAGAAAGCACCAATCTCACAAAATTAAATCCCTTGTTACCGAAAATTTATCATTTATATTTTATTTCACCCACAAAATATACAGTCACACCATTTTACATTAAAATTCCTGTGAAGTGGTTGGAATGACGTCCCAGCATGAAAGGCGCAATGTAATCTATAATTATTGAATGTAAGCTATAATTATTTATGTATTTTACTTTTTTTGAAATCTCCTTTGTTCTGTCAATTGTTGTATTACTTTCTTTCCCCTCTTCTTTCTCCTTCCCTCTCAATAGTATTTGATACCCTTTTCCTTCTATTGCCATTCTCTTTCACAGTCACCTTCGAGGCACTACCTCCCCATAATTTACAAGAGAGTATTCAAGGTCAATGGAGGTAGTCTATTCGACTCTTAGCAACATCACAGTTCAACCCACTATTGTTCATCCCTCAATATATGCACATGTGCACCTTGCAACAAGGATCTTATTCTCAGTGATTAGAACTGGAAACCATTGTTCGCCTACAAATACACAGTCACTACATTTTACAGTAATTCCTGTGAAGGGCTTTAAGACATCTCGATAATGAGCTAAGTCAAATGCCAGGATTATTATTTTCACCTCCCTAATGCAGGGGGTAATTGTGGCTTCATCTGCTGTTCTTTCTGAGATCAGTAAATTCCTGGGAGATCAGTTAACTTGCTTATCTTCATAAAAAAATTGTACAGTTTAGCGATTTAAGAAACAAAACAAGATGTTAAATTTAAAAACTCTTATTACATTGGCGTTGTGTTGCTTTTTTGTTTGGTCAACTGCGTGTCTGACACATGCAGAAACCCATCCAAACTGAAATTTAAAGTGAAATTGCTCTGTATAAAAACTGCCACCAGATGGAGTGAGTGTGCAAAGTACAGCATATATGTTTAAAAAGGTGACTTTTCACATAATATGCACACTGAACCACTGCCAGCAGCGCCAGGGAGGCAAGCAAATGTTGAAGGGGGAGAAGTATTTTTACACTCGCCCCCACCCCCTCCAAATGTAAAAGGCTTCTGCCACTGTGGTGGATGGTGAAGATGGATTCTTCAAAGATGCTGCCAACCAGGTCAAAGATGAGGATGTTCCTCTCCTCCCTACCCTTCTCAACCAGACAGTAAGCAACATCTCATTGACACCCCGCCCTGTCCTTAATATCCTACATCCGTCCCATGACCCATTCTGCCTTCCCCCCACCTCAACAACATTACCCGGCTCTGCCACTCCCTGCCCCTCGGACCACCGAGACCCTCATCCACGCATTCATCACATCCAGGCTTGACTACTCTGACTCCCTGCTTGTCGACCTTCCCAGCTTTTCCATCCACAAGATGCAGGTTATTCAGAACTCTGCAGCTTGTATCCTTTCCCGCTTGAGACTCCGTGAACCTATCACCCCCATTTTCACTTGGCTCTCCAAGGGCTCCCCATCCTCCAGAGGATATAGTTCAAAATCCTCAACCTTGCCTTCAAAGCCCTCCACTGCCTTGCTCTTCCCTACCTCTAACTCCATAAAGATCTGTCTGCTTCCTCTGCTCAGGAGGATTCACCCCCTCCACGTCCCCCCACCCAGCCCAGCCCACCATCAGCGGCCAGGTCTTCAGCCTCTCTCCCCACTCTTTGGAACTTCATCCCACAGTTCCTTCACCTCGCCGTGTCCCTTGCCTCCTTCAAGGCCCATCTCAAGTCACTCCTCTTCGACCATGCCTTCGGTCTCACTCTTTTACCCCTACCCTCCTTGCCCTCCACCCCTCCCGTTCCCAGCCCCCAGCTCTGGAACAAATCCTGACTGTCCAGGGTCTTGGGATGTCCTCCCAACATGAAAGGTGCTGTACAAATGTCAGTTTTTGTTGTTGATAACGCGGAGGACGATGAGCCTGGCGATCAATTTGGCATCTTTGGTCGTCTTTCGCCCTCCCCATCGTATAAAGCTTTCACCACTGAACAGTTCAGAGTTGATTGGATAAAGAAAATATACTACTAAATTTAAGATCTGTTGCACATCCAGAGCTACCAGCCTCAATGTCAGTCAATGTTCTATTTATAGCACAGGGATAAGACTGGTTATACAGTATCAGAAATGCAGACACGGAAGATGGTAAAAAAAAATTGTATATATGTGTGATGGCAAAAAATTATGCTATGGTAAGAAAATAACCTTATGTATGCAACAATAGTAACAATAAAGCAAAACAAACAAAAACAAAAAATAACCAGGGTAAAAATATTGTGAGTTTGAAAAACATAGTGGAGAGGAACATTTTAATTCTAATACTCAGATTTCTTTTTGTATTCTGTATACTTTCCCTATGAGAACCAGTCATCTATATGAAATGGATCCACATTCTTTTTCAGTAACAGGTGATACTGTTCCAGCAAAGCTCTTCTGAACCTGGGATATAATGCCTATTTAATATTTTATCAGAACAATGCATCAAGGAATTGGAGAATGCAATTTTAATCCCAAGTCACTGTAGGTGCAGAACACACTGTTTAAGGGACCTTCGGCAAATAAGTGTAAGGCAGAGAAAATACTACAATGGAAATATAATAATAGTATTAGAATTAGAATCGAGAGATGACAGGAAATTTTCAAACAACACTGTGTTCCTGACACCTCAGACACTGCAAGTTATATTTTAAATGTGAAACTGAATACAGTCGGCACATGATGTTGCTTTTTAAAAGCAGATTTAGGAAAATAGCTCAACAGCTATTTTGATACTAATTTAACTTAATCACATTCTAAACCTCAGGCCAGTGAAGGTCAATTTGCAGGATCCTGAAAATCCTTGTCACAGGAGATAGTGGCTGACAAATACTGAGCCACATTCAGGTCAGCACTGTGTGAACTCAGCCTGGTATATTCTCACAGCAGCAAGTGCAGTGCTATATTTATTAAACTGGTTCATTTTGCCATTGAGTTTTAATTACTCCACGTGATTCGGGATTTAGACAATCTCATTTTCTCTAATCCACCCTCACAACCACAAAACGTGACATCTGTGGAAAAAAAAAGAATAGCTCAGCTCTGACAACCCACACACAGTGCATGAATCGAAATGCACAGAATGAGATTTGTTGCGATTATTTCCGATGCTTTATTTTGACATTTAAGAGTGCTCACACCCAAGAGATTAACAACACATCCTGCTTGATAACACCATTTCCAAGATGCGATTGCTGGTTTAACTCAGCAGGAGGCATCTCCACCTGTTACTGACCTTGAGGGGGAAATGATTGGAATTGAAGGGAGAGGATGGGGAAAGAATCAAAGATTAATTAGGGAGTGGGGGACGAGAGAGAGAGAGAGAGAGAGGGGGAGGGGGGAGAGAGAGAGAAAGAGAGAGAGACACAGCAAAAGCAGACTTGGGAAAAGGAAGGTCAGACTCAGACATACACATTGATGAGAAAGGAAGAGATAGCACAGGCACATAGCCAGAAAAAAGGAAAGACATTCAAGACATAGACAGCGACAGAGCGTCAGGAACAGACAGACAGAAAACTGTATTTACAGAGGGGGATTGAGTCAGTCAGACAGACAGTCAGTCAGACAGACACACACAGTGACACAGGGAGCAGGAGATACCAACAGATACACAGAAAACTGTATTTACAGAGGGGGATTGAGTCAGACAGACAGACAGAGTTAGTCAGTCAGTCAGACAGACACACACACACACACACACACAGTGACACAGAGAGCAGGAGATACCAACAGATACACAGAAAACTGTATTTACAGAGAGGGATTGAGTCAGACAGACAGACACACACACACACAGAGCAGGAGATACCAACAGACACACAGAAAACTGTATTTACAGAGAGGGATTGAGTCAGTCAGACACACACACACAGACACAGACACACAGTGACACAGAGAGCAGGAGATACCAACAGAGAACAACGGGAGCACTTGTGCCGTCACTGACAGACGGGTCACTGCTCACACCCCACACACTGAGAGCCGCAGTTACTCACTCCGAGAGGGCGACCTGAGAGCAAAGTAACAGAGACCCGGTGATACCTGTGCAAACCGCGGCTGCCCCGGGCTGGGGGGGGTTACCAGAGGCACGGCGCTTACCCGGGACAGACAGACAGGTTTACCAGAGGCACAGCGCTTACCCGGGACAGACAGACAGGTTTACCAGAGGCACAGCGCTTACCCGGGACAGACAGACAGGTTTACCAGAGGCACAGCGCTTACCCGGGACAGCCAGACAGGTTGGCCAGAGGCACAGTGCTTACCCGGGACAGCCAGGTTGGCCAGAGGGAGGCTGCTGAGAGACCAGGGCAGATCCCCCATCCAGTCGGCGTGCGGACAGAAGGTGCTGCTCACGATGTTCCTCCTCATCTTGGATTCTCTGTCTATCCCTCCCCCCCTCCCCACCTCCCTCCCTCCCTCTCCCCCCCCCCCCCCCAGCGCCTGCAGACGGCTCGGGTCCCGGCCCGGGCTTCACACGCTCCAGCCCGGTGGCAGCTGAGGAGAGCGCCGAGTGGCAGACAGCCGACCCTCCGCGGCCCCGCGCATCGCTGCACAGTTCGTGGCCGATCCTTTTTCCCTTCCGATCAGCTGTGACGGGCGGTACAGGAAGTCTGGAGCCATCGTGTGGGTCACCAGAAGAGGAGGATAGAGCAACCAGAAATACCCGCAGCAAGTGACACGTCACTCCCCCCCCGCAAACCTCCTCCCCCCCCGCAACTCCCGCAGCCCTGCGGTGCGGTGTCAGCTCTCCCGACAAGTGATGAGCTTTACGCTTTACGCATCAGGTGTTGCTCCCCATCCAAGTGGCAGCCGCCTGTGGCGACTCTCTGGGAGCAGTTTAACTGTGTGTGTGTGTGGGTGTGTGTGTGGGGGTGTGTATGTGTGTGGGGGGGTGTGGGTGTGTGTGTGTGTGGGGGGTGTGTGGGTGGGGGTGTGTGGGGGGGGTGTGGGTGGGGGTGTGTGTGTGGGGTGTGTGTGTGGGGGGGTATGTGTGTGTGGGAGGGGTGTGTATGTGGGGGTGTGTATGTGTGGGGGGTGTCTGTGTGTATGTGTGTGTGTGGGGGGGGGTATGTGTGGGGGGTGTGTGGGGGGTAGGGGTATGTGTGGGGGGGTATGTGTGTGGGGTGTGTGTGTGGGGGTGGGGGGGGGGTGTGGGGTGTGTGTGGGGGGTATGTGTGTGGGGTGTGTGTGTGGGGGGGTGTGTGTATGGGGGGGGGTGTATGGGGGTATATGTGGGGGGGTATGTGTGTGTGGGGTGTGTGTGGGGGGGGGTGTGTGTGTGGGGGGGGGTGTGTGTGTGGGTGTGTGTGTGGGGGGTGTGTGTGTGGGGGGGTGTGTGTGTGGGGGGGGGTGTGGGGGGGGTGTGTGTGTGGGGGGGTGTGTGTATGGGGGGGGGGTGTGTGCACATTCAGACCTGCGCACTCCCCGCAGTGCTAAGCCGTATTTATGGCCACCTTTAGGTGAGAGTCCTGCGCTTCCAAATGCTTCCCCAAAGCAGATTTTCTGCCTCCCGTGTTATTATGTGCGCGCACACAAACCCCACAACATACACACACACACACAGAAAACACACACACAACATACACACACACACAAAACACACACACAACACATACACACACACACAAAACACACACACAACACATACACACACACACAGAAAACACACACACAACACACACACACAACATACACACACACACACAACACACACACACACACAACGAAATAAGCATTCTCGATTGTGATAGCTCCCTTTCAAAGTGGCTCAGTTACAACAACAACAACAACAACAAGATTCCATTTATAGAGCGCCTTTCACCTCGGGAGGACGTCCCGACTTAGCACCGCAACAGCCTGAGAGGTTGTGGGTTGAAGGGTCCCGCGTTAAACTTCAAGGCAAACCTGACAGTCCAGCAACACAAGGAGCTTCGCCACATTGTCGGAGGTCCCAAGCTTTGGCTGAGACATGAAACCAAAGTACCAGCTGCCTGTTCTGCAGGTGAACACTTAAAAGACCCCGTCGCACTATTTGAAAAGAGAAGGGACTTTCTTCCAGTATTTTGACCATTGATCCTCCAAAATTAATTTGTCATTCACTTCATGATTGCATTGTTGAAGGACCTGCCATCCTTCGTGACCCTATCGCCCCATCCTCGCCCGACTCCACTGGTTTCCCATCACACACAGGATACAGTTCAAGATCCTGGTCCTCATCTTCAAAGCTCCCCATGGTCTTGCTCCCCCCTACCTCTGCGACCTCCTAACCCCCTACCCATTCGCTCCCTCCACTCAGGGGGCTCCAGCCTGCTTCAAGGGCCCCGTCTCGTTTGCCCTGCTATTGGCGGGCGGACCTTCTGCCACTCTGCCCCCACCCTCTGGAACTCCATCCCGCAGTCCCTCCACCTCACCCCCTCCCATTCCACCTTCAAGACCCATCTCAAGACCCTCTTCAACTGTGCTTTCAATCTCCCTGCTTCCCGCCCAGCCCTCCACCCTCCCCCATCCCGACCCTCAGCTCGGGTCCAAAACTCTGACTGTTCAGCGCCTTGGGATGTCCTCCCGATGTGAAAAGTGCTTTACAAATGTAATTTTGTTGTTAACCTGAGGTCCTATTGACCTGTGCAAATGGATGTTAAAGATCCCATTGGCACTATTTGAAGAGTTTCTCTCTGTGTCTTGGCCAATAATTCCCCATATAAAATTGGTCATTCACTTGATAGCTGTTTGTGGATCGCAGCTATTTGCAAATTGCTGCAGCATTTATCTACAAATATATAATCACTGCATCTAATTGTAAAGTGCTTTGAAACATCTCTATGATGTGATAAGGCACTGTATCAAATGTAAGGATTATTATTGTCCTTGATTTCTCTGCCTCTTCTGACACCATTCATCATTCCATCCATCTCTCCTCTCAGAATGCACCTCTGCAGTACTTCACTCTCCCGGTTCCATTCCTACCCATCCCTATGTTTTCACTGCTCTCTATTGGTTTTTCATTTTGCTTATCCATGGAAACCTATGGGTGCACCTCATTCTACTTTCTTATATGACTTTCTTATATGTGGAGTCCTGTACTTCAGGTTGGAGCACTTGCCTCACAAGCGAAAGACCTGGGTTTAATTCCTGGCTGGGCGAAATGTTGGGCAAGTTTCTTTACTCCACACACCTGTTTACCTAGCAATAAGTAGGAACCCGGTTGTTAGTCGATTGGTGGATTGTTTTTCCGGGGGTAATAATTCCTTCAAAAAAAACGGTCACTTCACTCCATGACTGTTCGTGGGACACTGCTGTGCGCAATTGGCTGCCGCGTTCGCCCACAAATATACAGTCAATTCACTTTACAGTGTGTTCTGTGAAGCGCTTTGGGACGTCCTCCCGACGTGAAAAGCGCTATATCCAATGCAAGGATTATTATTATTATTATTCTGTGAAGGGGTTTGAGATATCTCGAAGACTATATCAAATGCAAGGATTATTATTATTGTTTGTACCAACTTGGTTACATCATCTGCAGATATGGTAATCCACTTCCATATAAATCTCTTTTTCTGTGTTGTATGCCTGACTGTGTTGTGTGAGTCTGTGACTCTCTCCCTCTGTTGCGTATGTGAGTGTGTGCGTGTCTTTCTCTGTTGTATGTGTGTGCCTCTGTCTCTCATTCTCTCTGTGTTGTGTGTGTGTCTCTGTTTCTGTCTCTCTGGTGTGTATATCTCTCCGTGTTGTGTGTGTGCGTGTCTCCCTCCTTCTCTGTTGTATGTGTTGCGTCTCTGTCTCTGTGTGTCTGTCTCTCTGCCTGTGTTTCCTTGTCTCTCTGCCTGTGTCTGTCTATCTGTCTGTGGGGGATGGTGTATGTGCTGGTGTATGGTGGGGGATGCTGTGGGGGATGGTGTGTGGTGGTGGATGCTTTGGGGGATGGTGTACGGTGGTGTATGGTGGGGGATGCTGTGGGGGATGATGTATGATGGTGTATGGAGTGTGTGCTGGTGGATGCTGTGGGGGATGGTGTATGTGCTGGTGGATGCTTTGGGGGATGGTGTACGGTGGTGTATGGTGGGGGATGCTGTGGGGGATGGTGTATGATGGTGTATGGAGTGTGTGCTGGTGGATGCTGTGGGGGATGGTGTATGTGCTGGTGGATGCTTTGGGTGATGGTGTATGGGGTGTGTGCTAGTGTATGGGGTGTGTGCTGGTGGATGCTGTGGGGGATGGTGTATGTGCTGGTGGATGCTTTGGGTGATGGTGTATGGGGTGTGTGCTAGTGTATGGGGTGTGTGCTGGTGGATGCTGTGGGGGATGGTGTGTGTGCTGGTGTATGGTGGGGGATGCTGTGGGTGATGGTGTATGGTGGGGGATGGTGTATGATGGTGTATGCTGGTGGATGCTGTGGGGGGTGGGATGGTGTATGGTGGGGGATGGTGCATGATGGTGTATGGTGGTGTATGCTGTGGGGGATGGTGTATGGTGGTGCTGTGGGGGATGGTGTATGATGGTGCTATGGGGTGTATGGTGTGTGCTGTGTGTGCCGGTGTATGGTGGTGTATGATGGTGTATGGTGGTGCTGGTGGTGCTGTGGGGGATGGTGTATGGTGGTGTGTGGTGTATGTTGGTGCTGGTGTGTGCTGTGGGGGATGGTGTGGGGGATGGTGGTGCTGTGGGGGGTGGTGTATGCTGGTGTATGATGGTGGTGCTGTGGGGGATGGTGTATGCTGGCGTATGATGGTGGTGCTGTGGGGGATGGTGTATGCTGGTGTATGCTGGTGTATGGTTTATGCTGGTGGTGCTGGTGCTGCTGTGGGGGATGGTGTATGATGGTGTATGGGGTGTGTGCTGGTGGTGCTGGTGCTGGTGGTGCTGTGGGGGATGGTGTATGGTGGTGTGTGGTGTATGTTGGTGCTGGTGTGTGCTGTGGGGGATGGTGTGGGGATGGTGGTGCTGTGGGGGGTGGTGTATGCTGGTGTATGATGGTGGTGCTGTGGGGGATGGTGTATGCTGGCGTATGATGGTGGTGCTGTGGGGGATGGTGTATGCTGGTGTATGCTGGTGTATGGTTTATGCTGGTGGTGCTGGTGCTGCTGTGGGGGATGGTGTATGATGGTGTATGGGGTGTGTGCTGGTGGTGCTGGTGCTGGTGGTGCTGTGGGCGATGGTGTATGGTGTATGTTGGCGCTGGTGTGTGCTGTGGGGGATGGTGGTGCTGTGGGGGATGGTGTATGCTGGTGTATGATGGTGTATGATGGTGGTGCTGCTGTGGGGGATGGTGTATGATGGTGTATGGTGTGTGCTGGTGATGCTGTGGGGGATGGTGTATGGGGTGTATGATGGTGTGTGGGGTGGTGCTGCTGGTGCTGGTGGTGCTGTGGGGCATGCTGTATGATGGTGTATGGGGTGCTGCTGGTGGTGCTGTGGGGGATGCTGTATGATGCTGTATGATGGTGTATGGGGTGGTGCTGGTGCTGCTGATGGTGCTGTGGGGGATGGTGTATGATGGTGTATGGGGTGGTGCTGGTGCTGCTGGTGGTGCTGTGGGGGATGCTGTATGATGCTGTATGGGGTGGTGCTGGTGGTGCTGTATGATGGTGTATGTGCTGGTGGTGCTGTATGATGGTGTATGGTGTGTGCTGGTGTATGATGGTGTATGGGGTGTATGATGGTGTATGGGGTGTATGTGCTGGTGGTGCTGTATGATGGTGTATGATGGTGTATGTGCTAGTGGTGGTGGTGCTGTATGATGGTGTGTGTGCTGGTGCATGATGGTGTATGTGCTGGTGTATGATGGTGTATGATGGTGTGTGTGCTGGTGTATGATGGTGTATGTGCTGGTGTATGATGGTGTATGATGGTGTATGTGCTGGTGTATGATGGTGTATGTGCTGGTGTGTGCTGGTGTATGATGGTGTATGATGGTGTGTGTGCTGGTGTATGATGGTGTATGATGGTGTATGCGCTGGTGTATGATGGTGTATGTGCTGGTGTATGATGGTGTATGATGGTGTATGTGCTGGTGTATGGTGTGTGCTGGTGTATGTGCTGGTGGTGGTGGTGTATGTGCTGGTGGTGGTGGTGTGTGCTGGTGTATGATGGTGTATGTGCTGGTGGTGATGGTGTATGTGCTGGTGTGTATGATGGTGTATGTGCTGGTGGTGGTGGTGTGTGCTGGTGTATGATGGTGTATGTGCTGGTGTGTATGATGGTGTATGTGCTGGTGGTGGTGGTGTGTGCTGGTGTATGATGGTGTATGTGCTGGTGGTGGTGGTGTATGTGCTGGTGGTGGTGGTGTGTGCTGGTGTATGATGGTGTATGTGCTGGTGGTGATGGTGTATGTGCTGGTGTATGGTGTGTGCTGGTGTATGTGCTGGTGGTGGTGTATGATGGTGTATGTGCTGGTGGTGGTGTATGTGCTGGTGTATGATGGTGTATGTGCTGGTGTGTATGATGGTGTATGATGGTGTATGTGCTGGTGTGTATGATGGTGTATGATGGTGTATGTGCTGGTGTGTGCTGGTGGTGGTGTATGATGGTGTATGTGCTGGTGGTGGTGTATGTGCTGGTGTATGATGGTGTATGTGCTGGTGTGTATGATGGTGTATGATGGTGTATGTGCTGGTGTGTGCTGGTGGTGGTGTATGATGATGTATGTGATGGTGTGTATGATGGTGTATGATGGTGTATGTGCTGGTGTGTGCTGGTGGTGGTGTATGATGATGTATGTGGTGCTGGTGGTGGTGGCGGCGCTGTGGGGATTGGGCTGTGGTGTGTGCTGGTGTGTGCTGGTGTATGGTGTGTGCTGGTGTGTATGATGATGTATGTGGTGCTGGTGGTGGTGGTGGCGCTGTGGGGATTGGGCTGTGGTGTGTGATGGTGTATGTGGTGGTGGTGGTGGCGCTGTGGGGATTGGGCTGTGGTGTGTGCTGGTGTGTACGTGCTGGTGGTGCTGGTGGTGTATGATGATGTATGTGCTGGTGGTGGCGCTGTGGGGATTGGGCTGTGGTGTGTGTTGGTGTGTATGTGCTGGTGGTGCTGGTGGTGTATGATGGTGTATGTGCTGGTGCTGGTGGTGGTGGTGGCGCTGTGGGGATTGGGCTGTGGTGTGTGCTGGTGTGTATGTGCTGGTGGTGCTGGTGTGTATGATGGTGTATGTGCTGGTGGTGGCGCTGTGGGGATTGGGCTGTGGTGTGTGCTGGTGTGTATGATGATGTATGTGGTGCTGGTGGTGGTGGTGGCGCTGTGGGGATTGGGCTGTGGTGTATGATGGTGTATGTGCTGGTGGTGGTGGTGGTGGCGGCGCTGTGGGGATTGGGCTGTGGTGTGTGCTGGTGTGTATGTGCTGGTGGTGCTGGTGTGTATGATGGTGTATGTGCTGGTGGTGGCGCTGTGGGGATTGGGCTGTGGTGTGTGTTGGTGTGTATGATGGTGTATGTGCTGGTGTGTATGATGATGTATGTGGTGCTGGTGGTGGTGGTGGCGCTGTGGGGATTGGGCTGTGGTGTGTGCTGGTGTGTATGTGCTGGTGGTGCTGGTGTGTATGATGGTGTATGTGCTGGTGGTGGTGGTGGCGCTGTGGGGATTGGGCTGTGGTGTGTGCTGGTGTGTATGTGCTGGTGGTGGTGGTGGCGCTGTGGGGATTGGGCTGTGGTGTATGATGGTGTATGTGCTGGTGGTGGTGGTGGCGCTGTGGGGATTGGGCTGTGGTGTATGATGGTGTATGTGCTGGTGGTGGTGGTGGCGCTGTGGGGATTGGGCTGTGGTGTATGATGGTGTATGTGCTGGTGGTGGTGGTGGCGCTGTGGGGATTGGGCTGTGGTGTATGATGGTGTATGTGCTGGTGGTGGTGGTGGCGCTGTGGGGATTGGGCTGTGGTGTATGATGGTGTATGTGGTGGTGGTGGCGCTGTGGGGATTGGGCTGTGGTGTATGATGGTGTATGTGGTGGTGTATGATGGTGTATGTGGTGGTGTATGATGGTGTATGTGCTGGTGGTGGTGGTGTGTATGATGGTGTATGTGGTGGTGGTGGCGCTGTGGGGATTGGGCTGTGGTGTATGATGGTGTATGTGCTGGTGGTGGCGCTGTGGGGATTGGGCTGTGGTGTGTGATGGTGTATGTGGTGGTGTATGATGGTGTATGTGGTGGTGTATGATGGTGTATGTGCTGGTGGTGGTGGTGTGTATGATGGTGTATGTGGTGGTGTATGATTGTGTATGTGCTGGTGTATGATGGTGTATGTGCTGGTGTATGATGGTGTATGTGCTGGTGGTGCTGGTGTGTATGATGATGTATGTGGTGGTGGTGGCGCTGTGGGGATTGGGCTGGTGTGTATGATGGTGTATGTGGTGGTGGTGGTGGTGGTGGCGCTGTGGGGATTGGGCTGTGGTGTGTGTTGGTGTGTATGATGGTGTATGTGCTGGTGGTGGTGGTGGTGGTGGCGCTGTGGGGATTGGGCTGTGGTGTGTGTTGGTGTGTATGTGCTGGTGGTGCTGGTGTGTATGATGGTGTATGTGCTGGTGGTGGTGGCGCTGTGGGGATTGGGCTGTGGTGTGTGTTGGTGTGTATGATGGTGTATGTGCTGGTGGTGGTGGTGGTGGTGGCGCTGTGGGGATTGGGCTGTGGTGTGTGTTGTGTGTATGATGGTGTATGTGCTGGTGGTGGTGGTGGTGGTGGCGCTGTGGGGATTGGGCTGTGGTGTGTGTTGGTGTGTATGATGGTGTATGTGCTGGTGGTGGTGGTGGTGGTGGCGCTGTGGGGATTGGGCTGTGGTGTGTGTTGGTGTGTATGATGGTGTATGTGCTGGTGGTGGTGGTGGTGGTGGCGCTGTGGGGATTGGGCTGTGGTGTGTGCTGGTGTGTATGTGCTGGTGGTGCTGGTGTGTATGATGGTGTATGTGCTGGTGGTGTATGTGCTGGTGTATGATGATGTATGTGGTGGTGGTGGCGCTGTGGGGATTGGGCTGTGGTGTATGTGGTGGTGTATGATGGTGTATGTGCTGGTGGTGGTGGTGTGTATGATGGTGTATGTGCTGGTGGTGGTGGTGGTGGCGCTGTGGGGATTGGGCTGTGGTGTGTGTTGGTGTGTATGATGGTGTATGTGCTGGTGGTGGTGGTGGTGGCGCTGTGGGGATTGGGCTGTGGTGTATGATGGTGTATGTGCTGGTGGTGGTGGTGGTGGTGGCGCTGTGGGGATTGGGCTGTGGTGTGTGCTGGTGGTGGTGTATGTGCTGGTGGTGCTGGTGTGTATGATGGTGTATGTGCTGGTGGTGGTGGTGGTGGCGCTGTGGGGATTGGGCTGTGGTGTATGATGGTGTATGTGGTGGTGTATGATGGTGTATGTGCTGGTGGTGGTGGTGGTGTATGATGGTGTATGTGGTGGTGTATGATGGTGTATGTGCTGGTGGTGGTGGTGGTGTATGATGGTGTATGTGGTGGTGTATGATGGTGTATGTGCTGGTGGTGGTGGTGGTGGCGCTGTGGGGATTGGGCTGTGGTGTGTGATGGTGTATGTGCTGGTGGTGCTGGTGTGTATGATGGTGTATGTGCTGGTGGTGCTGGTGTGTATGATGGTGTATGTGGTGGTGGTGGCGCTGTGGGGATTGGGCTGTGGTGTGTGATGGTGTATGTGGTGGTGTGTGATGGTGTATGTGGTGGTGTATGATGGTGTATGTGCTGGTGGTGGTGTATGTGCTGGTGGTGGTGTATGTGCTGGTGGTGGTGGTGGTGGTGGCGCTGTGGGGATTGGGCTGTGGTGTGTATGATGGTGTATGTGGTGGTGGTGGTGGTGGCGCTGTGGGGATTGGGCTGTGGTGTGTGATGGTGTATGTGCTGGTGTATGATGGTGTATGTGGTGGTGGTGCTGGTGTGTATGATGGTGTATGTGGTGGTGGTGGCGCTGTGGGGATTGGGCTGTGGTGTGTGTTGGTGTGTATGATGGTGTATGTGCTGGTGGTGGTGGTGGCGCTGTGGGGATTGGGCTGTGGTGTATGTGCTGGTGGTGGTGTATGTGCTGGTGGTGGTGTATGTGCTGGTGGTGGTGGTGGTGGTGGCGCTGTGGGGATTGGGCTGTGGTGTGTGTGAGTTTCTCGGCCACTGTAGTTTGATCCCGTGATGCTTTGCACAAGGAGACAAAATGAACAAAGTTACTCAGGTCAGAGATAGACAGAGTGTGAGAGAGAGACAGAGAGTGAGAGAGAGATAGACAGAGTGTGTGAGAGAGAGAGATAGACAGAGTGTGAGAGAGAGACAGAGAGTGAGAGAGAGATAGACAGAGTGTGTGAGAGAGAGAGATAGACAGAGTGTGAGAGAGAGATAGACAGAGTGTGTGAGAGAGAGAGATAGACAGAGTGTGTGAGAGAGACAGAGAGTGAGAGAGAGATAGACAGAGTGTGTGAGAGAGAGAGATAGACAGAGTGTGAGAGAGAGAGATAGTGAGAGAGAGAGAGATAGACAGAGTGTGAGAGAGACAGAGAGAGAGAGAGAGATAGACAGAGTGTGTGAGAGAGAGAGATAGAGACAGTGTGAGAGAGAGAGAGAGAGAGACAGAGTGTGTGAGAGAGAGAGACAGAGTGTGTGAGAGAGAGAGATAGACAGAGTGTGAGAGAGAGATAGACAGAGTGTGTGAGAGAGAGAGATAGACAGAGAGTGTGAGAGAGAGATAGACAGAGTGTGAGAGAGAGAGATAGACAGAGTGTGTGAGAGAGAGACAGAGTGTGTGAGAGAGACAGATAGGTGAGAGAGAGATAGACAGAGTGTGTGTGAGAGAGAGAGAGAGTGACAGAGTGTGTGAGAGAGAGATAGACAGAGTGTGAGACAGAGAGAGATAGACAGAGTGTGTGAGAGAGAGAGATAGACAGTGTGAGAGAGAGAGATAGACAGAGTGTGTGAGAGAGATAGACAGAGTGTGTGAGAGAGAGAGATAGACAGTGTGAGAGAGATAGACAGAGTGTGAGAGAGAGACAGAGTGAGAGAGACTCAGAGTGTGAGAGTGTGAGAGAGACAGAGTGTGTGAGAGAGAATGACAGAGTGTGAGAGAGGGAGAGACAGTGTGTGTGAGAGAGAGAGAGTGTGAGAGAGAGAGACAGAGTGTGTGTGAGTGTGTGACAGATACCGAGTGTGTGACAGAGTGAGTGTATGACAGAGAGAGAGTGAGTGTGTGACAGACACAGAGTGTGACAGAGAGAGAGTGAGTGTATGACAGACACAATGTGTGTGACAGAGAGAGTGAGTGTATGACAGACACAGAGTGTGTGACAGAGAGAGTGAGTGTATGACAGACACACAGTGTGTGACAGAGAGAGTGAGTGTATGACAGACACAGAGTGTATGACAGAGAGAGTGAGTGTATGACAGACAGTGTGTGACAGAGAGAGTGAGTGTGTGACAGACACAGAGTGTGACAGAGAGAGAGTGAGTGTATGACAGACACAATGTGTGTGACAGAGAGAGTGAGTGTATGACAGACACAGAGTGTGACAGAGAGAGAGTGAGTGTATGACAGACACAATGTGTGTGACAGAGAGAGTGAGTGTATGACAGACACAGAGTGTGTGACAGAGAGAGTGAGTGTATGACAGACACAGAGTGTATGACAGAGAGAGTGAGTGTATGACAGACACAGAGTGTGTGACAGAGAGAGTGAGTGTGTGACAGACACAGAGTGTGTGACAGACACAGTGTGTGTGACAGAGAGAGTGAGTGTATGACAGACACAGAGTGTGTGACAGAGAGAGAGTGAGTGTGTGACAGAGAGAGTGAGTGTATGACAGACACAGTGTGTGTGACAGAGAGTGAGTGTGTGACAGACACAATGTGTGTGACAGAGAGAGTGAGTGTATGACAGACACAGAGTGTGTGACAGAGAGAGTGAGTGTATGACAGACACAGAGTGTATGACAGAGAGAGTGAGTGTATGACAGACAGTGTGTGACAGAGAGAGTGAGTGTGTGACAGACACAGAGTGTGTGACAGAGAGAGAGTGAGTGTGTGACAGACACAGTGTGTGACAGAGAGAGAGTGAGTGTGTGACAGACACAGAGTGTGTGACAGAGAGAGAGTGAGTGTGTGACAGACACAGAGTGTGTGACAGAGAGAGTGAGTGTATGACAGACACAGTGTGTGTGACAGAGAGTGAGTGTGTGACAGACACAATGTGTGTGACAGAGAGAGTGAGTGTATGACAGACACAGAGTGTGTGACAGAGAGAGTGAGTGTATGACAGACACAGAGTGTGTGACAGAGAGTGTGAGTGTATGACAGACACACAGTGTGTGACAGAGAGAGTGAGTGTATGACAGACACAGTGTGTGTGACAGAGAGAGTGAGTGTATGACAGACACAGAGTGTGTGACAGAGAGAGAGTGAGTGTGTGACAGAGAGAGTGAGTGTATGACAGACACAGTGTGTGTGACAGAGAGTGAGTGTGTGACAGACACAGTGTGTGTGGCAGAGAGAGAGTGAGTGTATGACAGACACAGAGTGTGTGACAGAGAGAGTGAATGTATAACAGACAGTGTGTGACAGAGAGAGTGAGTGTATGACAGACACAGTGTGTGTGACGGAGAGTGTGAGTGTATGACAGACACACAGTGTGTGACAGAGAGAGTGTGAGTATATGACAGACAGTGTGTGACAGAGAGAGTGTGAGTGTATGACAGACACACACATAGTGTGTGACAGAGAGAGAGTGTATGATAGGCACAGAATGTGCCAACCCAACTGTCCAGCGCCTTGGGACGTCCTCCCGACGTGAAAGGCGCTCTGTAAATGCAATCTTGTTGTTGTTGTTGTTGTGTGTGACAGAGAGTGTGAGTGTATGACAGACACACGGTATGTGTGACAAAGAGAGTGTATGACAGACACACACAGAGTGTGTGTGTTACAGAGAGTGTGAGTATATGACAGACACACACAGACTGATTGAGAGAGTGAATATGATTTGGGAGTGGAGAATCAGTCTTGCGGGAGACTTAAATGGAGAAGTACTTCACATCAAAAGTACTGTTACTCAGTTTGCCTGCCATAGTGCTCTTTGATAAGTTACGTGACAGCCTTCAATTATTTTTAATTAGTGGATTAATGCTGATAATTATCAGTGACGTCTGTCACCCAACAGAACATCTCTATAGTTCAGCAAGGTTAATTGTTTCAAGAGACAAGTTGATGACTGCATTTCTAATGGCTGAAAATCCCTTTACTGTAATCCTTTGTACAGTGCAGCTTACCAAAACATGGACTTTGTATTTGAATAAATTAAGACAACCCTTTAAAGATTGACACTCTACAAAGCAATGAACTTGTACTTTTCTAACACTAACCCTATGGCTGTGTTATATCACATGAGATTGTCATTTTCCCAGCCACCTTCAAAACTGAGAGAGGATGGAGTAAATACTGAGCTTCATGAAAACACAAATGAATTCCTAAATTAAAAGACTATTACAAATTGAAAATAAAGGGCTGTTGTATAAATATTTTTGAAAAAGATTAAAGCGAGATATGCATAATGTTAGAGTGAGTGTGTATATCAGCTTTTATATCTGTTGCACATTGCTCAATTACAAATATGCAATCCTCACAAAGATTTGAATGAACCCTAAATTGAGATTCTTTTATTGTAATCATTATAGTTTACAGTAGTATTGTAGTCTTCTGCTTATTGGTAAGTATTGACAAACTCACGGGGAAAGTTAAAACTCTTCCTGAGCTGCAATAGAACAAAATAAATGTACGGCACATACTGAATACTGCAGAGGAATAATATTTGTGGCTTTGGATTCCCTTCCAAAATTAGAGTCTTGGGAGGGGAGAAAGGAATAAACAGGTGACTTGCCTGACTGCTCAGTGAGTAATTGCACTTGATAAGATAGCATTAAATGATGCAAACTTGGAAGGTTCTATTTTTCACTGGTTCCTATTCCTGGCTCCATCACTGGTTCCTATTCAGTCAATGTAGCCCAGTGAGATGCCAGCAAAGCATTACAAAGGAGAAGAGAGTTTCTCAAGGTGTTCTGACCAATAATCTCCCAGATAAATAGGTGTTTCACATCATGGATGTTTACAGAATAATGCTTTACAAATACAGGTATCGGTTACAGTATATAAATTACAGTATATTCTGTGAAGCGCTTCGAGACGTCTCGAAGACATGATAAGGGGCGACATCAAATGGAAGGATTATTATTATATTCTTATCTGACGCATCCGCAAATCACCATGCATAAGAGTATCCTAAGCAAATTGAGAGTTCCAAACATGCCACCTCCATGTCTGGAATAGAATGTACTCTTTCCCTGAAGGAAGGCATCCTTACCTAATTCGGGACAGTACTAAGCATAGCCTGGGCCCTCACGGTGTGCATGGGTGGGGTGGGGAACTGATGGAGTTTAATCAACTAAAACCATATAGTGTGCAATTAAAATATTCAATCAAGAAATCGCGGCTGCTTAGTTGGTTACGCCTTAGTTGGTTACGCCTACATACCTGTTCCTTCACAGGTAATTGCCCTCGCAACTTTCCCAAGCCTGGCCCTTGCTTCAGGTCGAGTATTTGCACAGAGTAACAGACAAAAGAAAGAACTGCTGAAGGTTGACCAGGTATGTATGCCTTGTTGTAGCAATCACCTAAAATCGCCTTTGCTGCCATAGAAGTAAGTGCAGGTAGAAAATAAAAACACAATAGGAAAAAGTTCTGCTATGCAAATAAAAAATCATTTTCACTCAGAACGGGGGAATGACATGGGAGTTATTATGAAATTATCAATGAAAGATATTTCAAAGGAGCTGTGCCCTTGGAGATTTCCTTTCTCCTGTCAATCAGACCTTTGTATCTGTAGCATGTAGAGGATACTGTTATTTAAGGAAGGAGATATACTTTTCAGTTAAGAAATCAAACTTATAAGTATCTAAATTTGCTGTATTTTAACATTCTATTTGTTTTATTTTATGATGTATCAGCGATTAGAACAATAGTTGGTGATTACAGTTTCAATATGTTCCTGTATTTCTGATATGCGACTTGGCTTATATAGCCAATGTTGGACTCCTCAAGATAAAAAGCATGGAAACAACTTCCCCACCCTTCTTGTTTTGCAGCTGTCACTTTATACTGTTCCTATTGAAATATACAGATATGAAGAAGACCGACCAAGCCATCTTGAAGAGACAATCTCTGTTTTCCGACAGTCAGCTGAGCCATATACAACCTGGTGTCAGGTATTGAGAGACTCTTGGACTATATTTTAATTTCTGTCTTTTGAATGATCTTGAAATTATTTTAATATGATGTCCATATCTGATTGTGAAAATAAGAATACAGTTTATTTCAGGTCTATTTTATATCATGAAAGTAAACCTAGTTTATGTTATCTAGTATATCTTAATTATAAAATTATAATAGAATACTAAAGAGAGCAAGTTAAAAAATATATAATTTTCATTTTTGCGAACTTAATTTCTTAAATTTGACCTGAAAATGCATAATCCATGTATCTAAGTGTTTCGCATGACACTTTATAGATCCAAATGATCTCCTCAATTGTCACCCCAGTTCTACCTAATGAAAGCACCATTATTAGTCACCAGTTTGATCCTGAGTTTATCAATTTGGGATTTTTTTATCTAAGCATCAATTCACGACAAACTCTGACATATGGAGCTGGAATTAGTTTAGGAAGTCTTCGGATGAGGATGATCCCATTGTCTAGGTCAGGTAATTTATTTTTCCCTATTCCAGTGTACATGACCCTAATAATAATAATAATCCTTGCATTTGATGTAGTGTTTTGTTGTTGTAGTGCCTTATCAGGTCTTCAAGACGTCTCAAAGCGCTTGTAAATTGAACTGATTGTATATCTTGCAGGCGAAACACAGCATCCAATTCCACACAGCAGTGTACCACAAACTGTCGTGAATTGAGTGACCAAATTATTGTTACTATTTTGTTTGGAAGGATTATTACCCCCGGAAAAGCAATCCGCCAATTGACTAACAACCAGGTTCCTACTTAATGCTAGGTAAACAGAGGCTGTGGAGTAAGAAAACCTGCCCAATGTTTTGACCTGCTTGGGAATCAAACCCAGGTCCTCTCGCTTGCGACTCTAGTTTTGAACTGCACCCATAGTCTTCTTTCAGAGCGGCTTTTCATGCTTGCGTGGATGATTGAGAAGGTAATTTATGATTTTTGATTTCTTATTGTGTATCTTTTTGTAATTTCTGTGAATATTCTTTTCCAGGGTGTTTATACAACCGTGAAACCTAAAATAGAAAATATTGTTCAGCGTGGAAAAGGTAAGAGTGGCGATTTTCAGTGCTGCTAGGATTCCAGGACTTTTAGCTCCAATTTTGTCAGAATCCTCTTATGAAGCTTGATTTGATGTTGTTGTTGAATAATGTTTCATTAAAAAGTTGACATGTTTGGCAACAGAAGGTCAGAATTGAGTAAATTCTCTGTGGCAGTCTCAGTAGTTTGGTTCCTGAGCTTGCTGTCTCTGCAGTAGTCCAAGGCCCTGTTGATGACAGACCAGATAGCCTGGCTTATTGGCAGGAGTGGCAGCAGGAGTGCTTCCTACTTAGCTCCTGTTAGCCATACAAGCCAAAGCCCCAATGGATAAGGTGACCCTAGCTTGAGAAGTAGCAGGACGCTTGCCTGGCAGTTTTCTCAATGGCATGCTAGCCAGTGTTAACTGGTTAAACTCCAACAATACCAGGACACACCCTGAGTTCAGATCGCCACACGTCATACTGGTAATATACAGTGCTGTGGCAAAGCCGCACTGAGAATACTGCATAAACTTCTGGTTGCCACGACATACGCAGGCTGCAGAGTTCTGAATGATCTGCAGTCTATGGAGGGAGGACTGGCTTAGCAAGGTGGAGTGTGCAACCGTGGATGGTGATGCTGCCAGCGCCTGAGGTGAGGAAGTGCTGACGGGAGTCAGGAGAGCTTTGGTCTTGTTGATGTTCAACTGAAGAAAGTTAGCTCTCATCCAGAACTTGATGTCTGACAGGCATTCTGTCAGGAAAGCAATGGTCTTGGAGTCAAGGGTGGAGGCAGAGAGGTAGAGTTGGGTGTCATCCGCATACATTGGAAGTTGACCCATGTCTGTGGATGACTATTAAGCTGAATTACTGAATATTGTAAATGCCAGAGGGAGTTTATTAATACAGTCTAAGACTATGCAGTACACGTATGAAGTTACAATACATTTGATTCTCTACAATACATTTGAACTAGAAAGGATGGTACTCCAAAGATCATTTACAGCAGTTTCCATATTAGGACTCGAGGCTCAAAGGAGAAATCAGCTACAAAATTTGGCCCTGAGATGCTGTTGCCATATGCATTTCTCTCCAGATAACAAAGTAGCATTACCAGGTCCAAAATAGAAAAACAAAAGTGCAGAATCAGATCCTGCATAATGTGGAAACATATTAGCAAAACATATGAAATTATATAATTAAACTATAAGGAAGATGTTTGTACTGATTGCTACCAAATAGTAACAATAGTTCATGTCCCATACAACTGTCTCAAGCATGTTATACAGGTCTGGACACATACTTGGGATGCTTCACTGTAATGGTTTGCATAGGAACGGTTTGTAAAGAATTTAGGCATGTTTGGAAATCAAATTAATGTAAGCATCTATATTAACCTTGTACATATCTTCTAAGGACACGAGAAGGTAAGCCTGTAATACTTAATACAGTGTAGCATCAGAGATGGAAAAGATAATAGAAAGAGACAGAATTTCCGCCCCCCGCCCATTCATTTTTGACATCAAAAATACAATTCAAGAAATACCTGGGTTTTTATTTTGTAGATAAAAAAACTGTTATGTTTTTTAGGCTTTCCTGTGGTGTGAATTGTGCTTTCTTACATCATCCAGTTGACAGACTGTGGCATGGTGAGACCTTAACAAGTCCATTCAAGTCTGAGTGAAAGTGTTCCGCCTTTTTACTTTGCAAGACACCATCACCCCCAAACTGTTGGTTCTGCTCAAATTCTGCCTCTTCAAATGTGACTCTGGCCATCTCAGCCTCCTACCCTTCCTTGCTCGGAGTCCAACCCCATCGCTGGAAAGTGTTCCAAGATGTTAATAATAATAATTGTGTTTGATATAGCACTTTATCACATCGCCATGACATCAAAGCGCTTTACAGGATATACTGCAAAGTGCATTTTATGCTGAAATGTTACCCTATATGAAGGGCACTATAAAAATGCACGTGGTCCTAATTTTGAAATATCCTACATAAACTCTACAACTTTCAGATTCATGGCAGAAGTTCATTTGCTGATTGTTCCCCTTTATAGTGTGCAACATTTGAACGTTTCATGTACTGAATGTTGGACAGACACAAAGCCTTTTGTGCTGGATAGGAATTATTTCAATATGTTTAGATGCTTTTAAAAATGGATTGTGGGTTTAAAAATGCGCTGTTGAAGTTTCAATACACTCACTTATAAAAAATCAAATTGAGTTGCTTTTTTTTGTTAGACAGCTATGTCTTTCTGAAGAATCCCCCACCTGAATTCTATCCACGAGCCGGAATTATTGCACTAGCTGGATTTGCTGGTCTTGTCCTTGCTGGAAGAGGTAGGAGCTGAAACTGATATTTTGTTCAAATGTACCATTAATGTCTTAACTAATTATTATATCAGAAATGCTGTTTTTAAAGTTTATTTAACATTTGATCTGTATAAGATTTCCATTAAAGGTCTCTACTGTCTCAAAAATAGGTATCCCACATTTTAATAGCCCAACACCGTCACCTGAGTGATTCATTACCAAACTTTCCCCAGCTCCAGTGGTGATTTTCTTACTTTGGATTGTTTTGAGACTTACCATCAACCATCCTCTTCAAAATTTATTTTATAGGTTCTCGTGTGAGAAAAACAATTTATTCGTTTGGCTTTCTGGCAACTTGTGCATTCGTGTATTATCCAAAAGAAGTGATTGAAGCTGCAAAGGTAAACATTTGTTACAGAGAACATCAATAATTATTTATATGAACAACTTCTGTTATTCTCTAAAGTATAAACACCAGCATGGACTATTTGGGACAAATGGCTAATTCCATTCCATACTATTCCATACTGTAATATACTATTTATTGCATCCTTTAGAGGTTATAATCTTTCAGTCAGTTAAATCATCTAGAAAACCAACCCTCCCGTCAACAGATTTTTAATTTTTAGATTTTTAATTAAGTGCTCTGAGACACTCTGATGTGAAAGGTGCCATATCAAACATAAGATTTTTTATTAGTAGTAAACATTTTAAAAAGCATATTTGTTAACCCAGCCAAATCTGCTATAATACAGAAATATTATGAAAAACTTTATTTTTAATTTATTGAACATTTGTATAATTTTTTAGGTCAGTGGTTCAGCTCTGTATGAAATGGGTATACAAGGTTATTTATCAGTGGAATCCCTCTGGAAAGAAAATACAGACAAGAAGCGACGTCTTGCCTCAAAAGTGGAAAGCAGTCAGGTAAATATTTTACCAACATTTTGAGTCAGTTTAAAAGTTTGTTTGAGGGTCATAAATAACATGTAATAACAAAACAAATACAAAGCTAAAATAAATCAAAATGGATCACGTCAAAATACATTTAGTCAATTTTGTGTTCCTGAAGACACATTCCTGAAGCCAATATAAACACGAGAGCACTTTTTTTCTTTTGACAGCTCTACCAGTAATTTTATGATGCAAAATACATCTATCTGTAAAGATGTATGCTTTTCTTAAATGAATATGCAGTAAGTTGGAATTTAATCATTTGTCTGGGGAGTGAACTAGTTTGTCACTCAATATTCCAGCTGTTCAAGTACTTTGTACTTTCGACATACTGTACTTTGGATAACCAGTCAACTCTGTAAGTAGCTATTGAGCTATTTCCCTTGGGGTGACAAGTTATCAGAGTTTCATTCTATACATTAGATGAAGAAAAAGGAAGCAGATGATGAAGCTTGTTTTACTCATTAAATACGTTCAAGATATGTACTCATTTAAGATAGCTGTTGTACATATTTTGTTATAAACAATTATGCTTTTGAAAGTTAAATTCATCTTCAATCTCCTTGGACTTCAATTATGTGGTTTAAAGATTGACATTTTGGCTTGCATATTGTTTGCCCTAAGGAACTTTCAGATTAATGTAATTTTATTTTAAAGGTTGAAGGTGTTCCATCTGTCAAACCAACAAATTCTTCCTCGTAAGCTTTAATGGGTATGTTTATTCATATTCGTCCACATAATATATATAAGTAGGAGAGACATACATTTCAATCTAAAATATAACTTGCTTAAAATGTTTTCACAGGTTTCTGTTCAACACTATATATGTCAGCACCCTATATATACATATCAAAGCCTATATTGAAGTTAACATACAATGTGGAACATTTACTAAACTCTTGAACACTTTTTTTTCTTATTCAAAAATAAAATTAAAAATGTAACAGACATTGTTTAAATTAAATTAAAATTGTTTAATTAAACATTGTTTAAAGGGGCCAATTATTTAGTGTTAACTGTTGATTTTTTTTCACAAGGTGCTGATCAAAAAACTTAATTTAGAACAGCTTGCCAGCGGATGAACAATTGTAATTGGAAGAAATAGACAGTGGTGGAAACAGAATTTTCCTAAAGAAGTAAATGAATTGAAAGTAGCATCCACCTTATAAGAAACCAAATCTTTTATGACTTGATGTCTGTACAATTGAAATAGAAATTCTGTTTGAGACATAAATATTTGTGTAATATATTAAAAAAGATTCCAATAAAATACCTTTAATCATCCATGTTTACATTATTGATTTCAATATATATTTGAATTTGTCAGAATACAAATCATTGAAAATAAAAATAATCCTTGCATTTGGTATAACATTAAATATGTCAAAACACGTCACAAGGTTTCGGTAATAGTTGTATTCATAAGAGAATGTGGCAGCTAATTTGCGCACAGCAATAACCCTCAAATAGCTGTGAAATTAATGAACAAATAGTATTAGGAAGATTGTTGGCCAGGACAACAGGAGAAATATCTTTAAGCTATGGGTATGAAAAAATATTTTAACCAAAGTTTTCTGAAAATGGGTTGGGGTAAAAAAGCAATCTTGAAATGATGTGTTCTCGGCCAAAAAGTAACCATTTGCTATCAGCCCAGAAGCCTGGAGTTCAGAGGTTAGAGCACTCGCCTTGCAAGTGAGAGGACCTGGGTTTGATTTCCAGGCAGGACAAAACATTCAGCAAGTTTCCTTACTCCACACGTTTCTGTTTACTTAGCAGTAAATAGGAACCCGGTTGTTAAATCGATTGTCTAAAACGCTTTTCCGGGGGTAATCCCTTTAAAAAAAAGTTTTAAATAAATGATCCACGACTGTTTGTGGGACACTGTGGTGTGCAATTGTCTGCTGCGCTTCATCCACAAAACACATCAATTCACTTTACAGTATATTCTGTGAAGTGCTTTGAGATGTCTAAGACGTAATAAGGTGCTATATCAAATGCAAGGATTATTCTACTATAAGGCCTGGATTGGCTCAATCAATTGATAAATTAAGCCCTCATCAGCATATCAACAGTGGGAACAATATTTTTAATTTAAAAACTTTCAAAATAAAGGCACATTCGGAAAATTGGTGGGCACTAAGACCTGGAATAGAAGAAACTACTTAGTTGAAGGGGTGTGCTGCTATCTAGTGGCTTATACTGTACAAAACAATAAACAGCATAAATTGTAGCCCATAACGATTTATGCTTAAACCCAGAGGTAATGCAATAACATAAGCATCCTGGAAAATGTCTTCACGAAAACCAAGAGTTGGTACGTTGAATTACCCTGAATGCCAATTTGGAGATACCCAAGTAATGCAAAGTTGATATGAGCAAAGTGAGAATTAAGCCATTGATAGGAGAGGATGGTGAGTTTGTACCTGCCTTTCACTTCTGAGATTGCGTTTGAATGCAGCCCTGGATTGGTGAATGAATGGCTCTATCTCAACTGGCTTTAAGGTTCCACGTGACATGAATTCAAACAACCTCAATCCAGTCATTGCCCCAAGTTTGGCACCAAACACACAATCTTCTCAAACCACCTGAGATGATTGTAACGTAACGTGTAATGTCTCCCTGTTCAGGGGGCATGAAAAGTTTAATGTTTCACTATTCAAAAAGAGAGAAGCCGGTTTCTTCCGGAAATTCTGTTTTACAAACACCCAGGGAGAAAAAAAGTCATTCATTTCACGGCCTGTGGTAGGACATTGCCGTGCACAAATTGGCTGCCACCTCGCCAGACAAAACACAGAGTCGCCACACTTTACAATAGATCCTGTGAAGCACTGTGAGATAACAATAATAATCCTTGCATTTGATATCGCACCTTATCACGTCTTCGAGACGTCTTAAAGCGCTTCACAGAATTAACAGTATATTTCGCGGGCGAAACCCAATTGCGCACAGGCATCCCCTCCGGCGGAAAGGCGCCGTGTCAGACGTTCAGCATGATTTGTTACAGTGGAAAACGTAAACTTGACACTTGTGCGGCCAAGCACTGAAACCGGGCAAGGCGTGGACACACGCGGCACCGCAGCCCGGCGAGGACCAGCGCTTCCAGGAGGGAAATCGTCCCCTCGTACCGGCTTCCGCTCCACCATCGGGGGCCCGAAGCTTCGGAACGCTCTCCCTCGATCCCTCTGCCTCGCCTCCTCCTTGGCATCTCTTCGACTGTGTTTATGAGCCCCTCCATCCCTCCCTCCCTCCCTCCCTCCAGGCTCGGGGTCAGGCTCTGCCGCCGTCCAGCGCTCCGTGAGGCCGCCCCGAGCGAAGGGCGGCGGTGCAAACGCAAGTTGTTGTTGAGACGAGAAGCTTAATAGCCGCCCCACACCAATCAGTTGACCCCACGCCCCCCCCCTCCCCCTCCCCCACCACCACCACCCAGTGACTCTCCCACCAACTCTCCTTTACCAAGATGGCCGCCGGGGGGAGGGGGCGCACTTCCGCTTCCGGGGCGCGGGTGGGTAAGATGGTGCCGGCGGCCGCCGTGCTCGGCGCGGTGGGGGTGTGGTGCGCTCTGTACTTGGCCGACTCGCTCCTCAAGGTGAGGCACCGGCACCGGGCACCGGGCACCGGGCGGGGCAGGTACCGGGGCTCAGCGGCGATGGGGAGACAGACAGAGACAGACAGACAGACATGTGCGGGAGGAGCGGCCTCAGCGGCCACTGAGCCGTCAGCACAGCCCCGCACACTGTACACACACTGTACACACAGCCCCGCACACTGTACACACACTGTACACACAGCCCCGCACACTGTACACACACTGTACACACAGCCCCGCACACTGTACACACACTGTACACACAGCCCCGCACACTGTACACACACTGTACACACAGCCCCGCACACTGTACACACACTGTACACACACTGTACACACACTGTACACACAGCCCCGCACACTGTACACACACTGTACACACAGCCCCGCACACTGTACACACACTGTACACACAGCCCCGCACACTGTACACACACTGTACACACAGCCCCGCACACTGTACACACACTGTACACACAGCCCCGCACACTGTACACACACTGTACACACAGCCCCGCACACTGTACACACAGTCCCGCACACACACTGTACACACACATACACTCTACACACACAGCCTTACATACACAGCCTCACATACATTGCACATACTGTACGCACGCCTCACAAACACAGCCTCACACACACAGCCTCACGCACAGTGTACATACACTGTGCACACATACTGTACATACACACTGTACACACTTGTGTACACACTAAACACACAGTACACACACAGTACACTGTACATACTACACACACTGCACGCATTACACACAGCCTCACACACTCTATACACAGCCTCACACAACACACACACACAGTACACGTAGCCTCACACACACGCTCACACACACTCTGCAGACATATTAATAATAATAATCCTTGCATTTGATATAGCGCTTTTCACGTCGGGAGGACGTCCCAAAGCGCTTCACAGAACACACTGTAAAGTGAATTGACCATATATTTGTGGGCGAACGCGGCAGCCAATTGCGCACAGCAATGTCCCACAAACAGTCGTAGATTGAAAATGACCAATTTATTATTGTTTTTGGTTTTGGAGGGATTATTATTAGGCTCTGTGTGGAGTAAGGAAACTTGCACAAGGTTTCGCCCTCTGCCTGGAATTGAACTCAGGTCTCTCACTTGCAAAGCGAGTGCTCTAACCACTGAGCTACAGGACTCCACTGTTGTACACACTGTACACACATACACACAGTGTACACACAAACTGTACACACACACACGCATACTGTACACATCTGTACACTGTACACACCACACACTGTACACACACACACTGCACACACTGTACACACTACACATTACTGTACACATTGTGCACAAACTACACACAGCCTCACACACTGTACACACACTACACACAGCTTCACACCCACAGCCTCACACACACTGTACACCCTACACACTGTATACACTACACACACACTGTAACAGCTTCACACACACTGTACACATATACATACACACTGTACACAACTTCACACACTATACACAGGCCCAGCCCCAAACACTGTATACACAGGCTCAGACACACACTACACACAGGCTCAACCCCATACACTATACACAGCCGCACACTGTACACACAGGCTCAGCCACACACTGTATACACAAACTCAGCCACACACTGTATACACAGGCTCAGCCCTAAACACTGTACACACAGCCCAGACCCCAAACGTGTACACAGGCTTGGTCATAAGCTGTACACACGCTGTACACACAGGCTCAGCCACATACTGTATACGCAGGCTCAGCCACACATTATACACACTGGCTCAATCCCAAACACTGTATACACACAGGCTTAGATGCACACAGGCTCAGCCACACAATGTACACACAGGTTCAGCCACACAATGTACACGCACAGACTCAGACATACACTGTACACAGCCACACACACTGTACACACAGACTCAGTCAGACACACTGTACACACACACACTACACAGGCTCAGTCATACATACTGTACACACACACACAGCCGCAGCTGCACACACTAGACGCAGGCTCAGTCATCTACACACACACACATATACGGGCTGAGTCATTGTACACACACACATATACAGTGTATGACTTACACACACAGTATCAGCTATACACACATGCTCAGTCACACACACATCAACACAGGTTCAGACATGCACATACACACAAACACACGTACAGGCTCCTTCAAACAGGCTCATACACAACATGCTCATACACAAACAGCCCATACACAAACAGACTCAGCCATTTACCACACACACACAAAGCCTCAGTCACACACACTCAGGCCCATACACTGTACACAGCCATACACTGTACACACAGGCTCAGTCATACACTGTACACAGAAACACACACACACTGTACACACAGGCTCAGACATACATACTGTACACACACACATAGAGCCTCAGCCACAAACACTGTTCACAGCCTCAGTCATCTTGACACACACATACAGGTTCCGTCAAAAAGGCTCATACAGCCTCATATACAAACGGGCCCATACATAAATAGGCTCATACCCAAACAGAGTTAACCATTTACCACACATGCACACACACACAAAGCTCAGCCAGACATACTCAGGCTCAGCCATACACACACCAGCAGGTCCAGCCACACACACACACACACACACAGGTTCAACCATCTCCAAACACACGCACACAGGCTCAGCCATGATGATATGGAATCCTCTGCGCTGGAAAACTGTAGAAACAGAATTACAGCAATATTTAACAGAGATACTGTAGGCAGATACTTGGATAGTAGAGTATAAACGGGTGTAGTGAAAGAATGGGGCTTTGGGATTAAAGATCTAGGAGGTTTTAAAACTGGTGTAACAGGTAAATGTCCTGAGTGTCCTCCTCCTGTTCCTGTTTTCCTCCCATTCCTTTGTCTATATGATCCTGTTGCCGTGATGTGACAAATTGAGATTAGTTGTGTTATGAGTGTGGATAATAATAATGATCCTTGCATTTGATATCATGCCTTAACAGGTCTTTGAGACGTCTCAAAGTGCTTCAAGATTTTCTGTGAAGTGGTCTGACTGTATATTTTGTGGGTGAAATTTTGTGGGAGTTATTCTTAAAGGATAAGGAAATTTAAAATTCTGGTTTATTGATATTTGTTGAAAATGTTACTGATAGCATTCCCTTTCATTGTAGTCATCGAAGAGTCTAAACACGTGGTATGAAGAATGGTTGGCATATCATGGAATAAATATTTCACCCTTCCATATACGTTGGCAAACTACTCTTTTCAATCGATTGTTTGGGAAGGTAGGACGATGGAAGCCTCAATTACTCTGTCTGTGGTAAGTTTTACTTTAAAATAAGACTATCTTTGTCCACCTCAGCAGCAGGCTTCGTATGGTTCATTGAGGTTTCAAACCAAAATTAGACTGTGCTTTTCGTAACAGAAGTGGGCTGAAATCTTCGTACATCATAAAAATATCTGTGGTTTTGGTACTCTTTGCTTGCTTCAGAAGGTGCTTGTGTAACATGTAATTTTATACCAACAATGCAACCGCATCAAATTAGATTACAACAATGTGCAAAAAAATAAGCATAAATTAACTCAAGATTATAGTTTTCCCTTAAAATACTGCACCCTGCAATTGGAACATACAATTATTTTTCATTTTCAGGTTCAATCTGGGTTTGGCATTTGGGGTGGTGACTATGTTTGCATCGATAATTCTTCTTGCAAAAACACTTGTCCAGACTTTGGCACTTATGACAGGAGAGACATCTACAGTTCAAAATGAACGCATTCTGCAAGTTGTGGTAAGTAATGTGCTTTGTAAAACATTAAGCTGCTTAGATGCGAAAATCTCATCTCTGTTTGTAGATGTACTGAATACAAAATTGTATATGCTAAATTTAATGACTGCAATTATTAGCCAACATAATGTGAGGATTGGTGCAGTAACTTGTGTTGAATAGTGTACTTCTGAATCCTTTTTAAAGGGGAGCCTTTTTAAGATTTTTTTTTACCCAGGACCCATGCTAACTATCTAAAGTGAGTACAGATATTTCTATTTCCTTGTGTACATGAGTTTTTATTTTAAATGGAAGGTTTATGTACAGTCAATTTTATTTTATTTCTTCCTCTATTCCCCCTTCCTCTCTCTGCCCCGCCCCCCCAAAAAAGTTGCCATACAGAAGTTTAATTGATCAGAAATTTGTTTCAGAAGCTGAAAAATGCGCCTCATGCATTTTAATAATCTTTGTATTTCATTTTACATCGTTTTACCTCTGAAATGGAACACTCTCTGCTTTGTCAGCTGCAACTCCACAATTCGTTTGTGGATACCTAAATTTCTTGGTTCTGTGAGACTGCAAAAAAAGTGACTCTGTGGTTGGATAGCCCTCCAAGTAAGAAAAGGTCATAAGTGACTTTGACAATTTGCAACAGATGTTTTCCTTATCTTTCTCCACCCCCACCCCTCTCCCCACACACACACACACATACACACACACCCACAGCATACACACATGTCCTTCCCGATGTATAATAATAAATTGGTCACTTCAATCCATGACTGTTTGGGACACTGCTGTATGCAATTGGCTACCGCGTTTCGCCCACAACATATACAGACAATTCACTTTGCAGTATATTCTGTGAAGGGCTTTGAGACGTGATAAGGTGCTATATCAATTGCAAGGATTATTATTCTTATGAGGTCAGACTTCTGCCAATGTCATTCTGAAATGGGCTTCTTGGAGTTGAGGAATCTGTGGGGAAGAACCAGATCGTGCAAATCTTCATGATCGTAGCCTTCACATTTGACTTAAAACACACTGTAGAAAACCAGTTTGCAAATCAAAACTATATTTACAATTTTAAATGTAAAATTCTTAAACGATAAAATTGTGCTCTTTAAGGTAAAAGAGAGAGCAACTGTAGGCTTCCGCTTGCTACTGCCTGTGATTGCACAATTGACACTGGGAACTCAGATTTGGGGAGCAAACCTGCATTCTGCATGACATATCGTGTGACTAACCACTGCAATCTCCAAAGAGCACCACATTATACGCTATAAATGTTATCTAACTTCAGTCAGGAGTGATCACTATCAGAGGATTCTAATATAACTTGAATTACAATAAAAAAATCAAATAAAGTTGGTGTGCAGATAGTGCACTTTTGAACTATTTATCAAGTGGCTTGAAGCTAATTGGGTGATCTGTGCAAGGGTCAAACATTTTAAGTCACTTGTGCATTGTATATTCTTGCATTCAGCTCTGCAGATTTCTCTTTTTTTCCCTCTGCCACTATCTCCCTCCCTTTAAAAAAGATGCTCCTTCTGTTTGACACAAAGCAAGTATCTCTTTATTTACTGATCAAACTGTAAGAATCTGTTGGTATATTTCAGTTCTTCAGAGTCTGCACTAAGTGGCAATTCATTCCTTAGATTAATTTAGTGTAGTGGAACAGCCTTTCAATTAGATTCAGTGTGGAGCCTGCCAAGTATCCAATTGCACCCCAAGGCCTTCCTTTTAATGCAGTACAGAGTTTCTTTCAGAACAGATCTGGGACCAACAACTGCTTACAGAGCATAGGGAAATATAATGTGCAATCTGATTTTCTGCTATTGCTGCTAATACTGAATTTGCTACATCCTGTTAACTTTTAACAGGTGCCTGGTATCAATCTGCCAGCCAGCCAGATGGCATATTTTTTCATTGCTATTCTCATCAGTGGTGTAATACATGAAATTGGCCATGGAGTGGCAGCCATCAGGTAAGGTTCTTATTCATCGTATTCGTGTTCACAGTTATTACCAAAGCTTTTTCTTGTGGTTTGCTAGACGACCTACATAGAAATCCAACGATGTGCTTAACATTATCCAAACCAGACTGAGGGTTCCACATATGCTTGCACCTGCACAAGGAAATTTCCTTTTGTTTAGAATGGAATGCTTATTCTCTCCCAGGAGGGATGTACCAAATTTCACTTATTCTGGAAAGTATTAGACACAGATTAGCAAGCTATAAAGACTCCAGTACATTGAGTTCCTGCTGGAGTTAAACCAACGAAAAGCACACATGGTATTTATTATGAGCCCTGTCCTCAAGTTTTGTGCTGCTTATCCAATGAATACCACCCTACTCATTAGGTCTTTGGCTTGTACATTTTGAAGTTTTAAGTTTTTTACAAATCTTTTCACAGGGAACAAGTAAGATTCAATGGCTTTGGTGTATTTCTTTTCATCATCTATCCTGGGGCCTTCGTTGACCTTTATACCAATCACTTGCAGCTAATTTCTCCAGTGCAGCAGCTAAGAATATTCTGTGCAGGTAAAAATCCTTGCAGCTTGTTATATTTAATAGTTCATACATTTTTACAACTGATTGATTTTGAAACTCAGTACAGACTGGCTTGTGTTCTTTATTGCTCACTTCCATACTTCGTAGACAAGAGAGAAAAGATCAGGTGGCAGAGAAAGCTGGAACACTGCGGAAAGCTATGTTTGGGGGCAGAGTTACTTTTGATCAGGGGTTTTGACACATGTAAAAACCCGTCGCCATGATAAAGAATGCCCAAACTAGACTGAGAGTTCGATAAATGCATAGCACTTCCCAGTAAATCCTGTGCAGTACCTCTGAGATGTTACGCCTAACACAAAAGGCGCTATATCAAATACAATTCTTATTAATATTAATAACTTTGGGTTTACATTCTGTGCAGCATAAATTATTTGCAAAATAAAGGTAATTCCAATATTGATAGTCTGTTTCGTTGAAATATTATCGAAAATAAATCAGTGAGCAGTAAAAATTGCTAACTGAAACTTTCAATAATAATTTCTACTTTTAATGCCAATAAAGTATTTATAATATGAGTCATTTACTTGCTTGTTAAAGCAATAGCTTGATGCAAGATATTCATTTTTTTTCTTTGCAGGTGTGTGGCACAACTTCATACTGGCATTGATTGCTCTAATTGTCCTTTACTTGTTGCCACTGTTCCTCCTCCCTTTGTACTACACAGGAATTGGTGCGCTTGTTACCGAGGTCCACGAGGTAATTAAATAACTAAACTAAACCGGCAAGTTCTGAATTCTTATGTAAATGTGATTTTGTGCCTCATGTATCACTTTGGGTAAAGCCATTTCATATTGCCACATTAACTTCAATGACTAGTTCAGGAAATTGTGAAGCACAAAATTGGGTTTGCAGCTAACTCAGGAACTATTTCAAGTGGATGAAATTTTAGAAAAATGGTTTACACTAAACTAATAACTGGCAAAAGAAATTCGATAAACATAAAAGCAAGCTAATATATTTAGGAATAAGAAACACATGTACTCCATATTACCGATAGAACTTGTTTTCATTAATAGAACTTACCAAGAGGGAAGCTGAAAAATTTAACCCAAAAATAACTGGAATAGGTTAATAGGAAGGATAACTGAAACTCAACAACAAGTTGCATTTATAGAGCACCTCTCACACAAGGTAGAGTCTCAAAGCGCTTGACAGTGGTAGAGCACAATGCAGAGCCAGTGGGAGGGGGGAGGTGATCATAGCCACGGTCGAAGAGGAAGGTCTTCAGGCTTGACCTGAAGATGGGAAGGATGGGGCAAGGCAGCGGGATAGAGGCAGAGTGTTCCAGAGTTTTGGGACAAAATTACTGAAAGCACAGCCACTGATGTAGAACGGATAGTGGAGTCCTGTAGCTCAGTGGTTAGAGCACTCGCTTTGTAAGCGAGAGACCTGAGTTCAATTCCAGACAGGGCGAAACCTTGGGCAAGTTTCCTTACTCCACACAGAGCCTAATAATAATCCCTCCAAAAAACCAAAAACAATAATAAATTGGTCATTTTCAATCTACGACTGTTTGTGGGACATTGCTGTGCGCAATTGGCTGCCGCGTTCGCCCACAAATATACAGTCAATTCACTGTACAGTATATTCTGTGAAGCGCTTTGGGACGTCCTCCCGACGTGAAAAGCGCTATATCAAATGCAAGGATTATTATTAGTATTATTATTATGACCTGAGGGACAAACAGAACGCCGGAGCCAGTTGAGCAATGGCAGAGGGTAGCAGCAATGGATTGGGGAGCAGGTCATTTGAAAGACTCATTTGAAAAACAAATTGATCCAATAATGGGAAAACATTACACAGAATTACATAGAATATACAGCACAGAAACAGGCCATTCGGCCCAACTGGTCTGTGCCAGTGTTTATACTCCACATGAGTCTCCTGCCTTTTCTCAACTAAGTCTATTAGGGTGGGTACAGTGAAAAGATAGGATCAAACAGACCAAAAGGCCTTCTTCACCTGAAACAATTTTGTGTTTTTTTGATCGTTTGTACCAACAACATGGGACAACGTTCCTCAATCTTTTCTTGGAGCTAGACAAAGTATACAAGGTGCATACCTACCAATAGAGGAGAGGGTTTTTTCCCCTAGAATAATATGTTTTTCACATGTCTACTTATTTTTTACTTAAACAACTCATTCTGTTTATTTGAGTCATGCAAATTGAATTTCCAATTTGGTGAGGTGATATAATTCATAAATTTTAGGGTATAGTATTATACTCTTGGAAATCATATTATTTATTCAGCTATATTTGCCTTATGATTTACAGAATTCACCTGCCAGTGGACCCAGAGGACTATTTGTAGGGGACATTATTAAATATGTTGAAGACTGTTCAGTCCATGACGTGGAAAATTGGCACAAATGTTTTGAAGACATTTCTTTGAAACCTCAGACTGGATACTGTATTAATGAAGAAACACTACGACACCTGAACTCTATGGGACGAGGTATACAAATGCAATATTTGGTTGAGTACAATATATTCTAATGATATACTGTATCTGATGTTCACTTCTACCTTTACTACGTCACATTACTTGGGATGGCCAAATAAATGTAAATTTGCAACATAACTGCATAAAATCCCCAGCCTGAAAGATAAGATAGTATACAGTCCTGGTATATTGAAACTGGAGACCTTAACCTTTCCTGAGTAAAAGCTGATTTAGTAATCTCTTGTCTGGATTACTACCCAACTTGCAGGAAGGAGAGGCAGATAATGTGTGTGACCCTCAGGAACCTTAGTAAGCTGATCTATGCATTATTTAATTAAGATGCTTGCATGTGGCACCTCACCCTCCAATCATCCTCCTGATAAGGAGATTTCATGCTGAGGTTTAGATGAGCCTTTCATCAACCAATAAGTGCAGTAAAAAAACAAGTGAATGCGAGACTTGTGTGTTAACATACAACAAAGGTAGAAATGACTTGCAGCGTGCAATCTAATATACAATCTTGGTGACTGATATTTAGATGTCTTCCTGGAGCACAAACTTCATCTTGTCAAATGCGTAACTAGCTCTTCTAATATTTCTTATTTTAATGGAGTCAAATGAATTAAAAGTAGTACACCAGAACTATAATGCTAGACTGTAACAACTGCTTGTTGTATAGTAAAATGATTGCCTCTATTTTTTCTTTCCTCTGCAGCATACAGAAGGCTTGATGGTACCATGGAATGTTGCAGCAATAACAGCCTTGTGGATATTTGTTTTTCTTATAGCAACAATTTAGACAGCCATCTGGTAAGGAACATAGAACCTAACTATGCCACACTAAAAAGGTGTTTACCGAATGAAAAATATTTTTATACTATGGTCAAGATGCACGTCTATACTGAAGTCTCATTTTTATGGATTAGTAAATGCAGAAAAAAGTTAAATGTAAAACATTATGTGTTGGGTGTCAGCGTAGTTCAGTTGGAAGACATGCTTGCCTGAGTCAGAAAGTTGTGGGATTAACCCCTATGTTGAATCTTTGAACTTGCACTCGAGGCTGACAATCCTGCTGGGATGCTGCATCATTGGAGTAAGAAAGAAAGCGAGTAAAGAGATTAAAATATGCAGTTTTAAGAAAGAAATTAAAGTATACAGAAGATAATTTATCTTGGAATACAGTAAACCCCTGGCTTACTCTCTGGAATTCATACTGAGCCAAACCAGGCTGAAAACAGGAAAAATTAAAAAAAAAAATCTGCAGACCCTCATGTAGACTCTGGCTGGCCCATCCACTCTCTTTGCACACTTCCCCGCCTCACGATCCTTGCTGACCTTCAGTGGCCAGGGACATCGACTTTGACTCAGTTTGAATCCTACAAATTTTAAAAAAAGCTTATTTGCTGTTTTCTGCTTGTGGGAATTAAACAATTACATTGCCGATAGTGGCATTTATCGGCATTTTTTGGCACTAAAAAAAGCCAATAAATGCTGATAAATACTGGTATTGTAATTACATTTAGCCATCAAATGTTAATTACATTTGACTGGATTACTCCCCCACCCCACCCAACCCGTTGGTCTGGTTAGCCACGGTTTAAGTGTATGTAGAAAAACAGTATATATAAAAAAAACGAAAGGTGCCAACAGGCAAGCAGAATTGAAGTATTGCATTTTTGTTTCATGGGTAATCACAATTCTATTTTAAGTGTTTTGTATTTTAGGTTTAATATTATGGAAAAAAGCTGTCAGCTGTCTGTTCCTTCCATTTGAGTAGCTATATCACCGTAATTGGTGTGTGTCAGGTTCCATACATAAACTCAAGAAAACTATCCAGCTGGGGAGACCATTCTTTCCATTGTTGGATCCATTGCTGTTGACTTACAGGACTTATTGTGTTCTGCCACCTTCCTAATACTTTTTCTGTTTTTTTCCCATTTGTAGTATGCTTGTCTGCCTGCCAGAAAAGCCATTGAATCTAGCCAGATTTGCCAGACAAACATGGATTGTCAGAAGGAGTTTGTCCCGAGCCTATGTGTGAAACCCTCTCTGGAAAACCAAACCAGATTGATCCGAGTCACACATTCACCTAAGATGGCAATGTTGTTTGTAGGACATCCGATCCATCTTCAGTATGCAGGTCTGTAATATGAAATGTGTTCTGAAAATATTTGATATTTATCAATAAGATATAATGCTGGTGTAAGCAAATTGGATGGGTTAGGCCTTTTTGTACTAGAGAAGAGATGTTTAAAGGAGGACCTAATAGAGGTGTTCAAAAAATATAAAAGGGTTTGATAAGGTTAGCATAAATAGGTTTTTCCCACTTGTTGAGGATTCTGTAATCAGGCGACACAAGTACAAGATAGCAACTAGGTGGAGACTCATATGGAGAATAAACACCTGGCATGGGCTAGTTGGGATGAATGGCCTGTTTCTGTGATGTACAATCTATGTAAATCTAGTGTGTGTCTGTGCTCTGCAGGGTATGTAAATCTTAATGTACATAACCAAATCATGCAAAAACTGGAATTCCAAAAATTTCAATGGAGGTTTGGAGAGGAATTATTGTATCTAAGTCTGGGAAATATTTATATTCCAGAACCACAACAATTTCCATTGACACATATCCCCCTTTCACGTCGGAAGTGCATCTCAATATGCTTTGATTGATGATTGGGAGACCGAGTGTGGAGTAAGATTGGGGAGATTTATATTAAATGAAAGTAAATAGCCAGTTTTAACACTTGCATGTTTGATTTGATAGTTAATTGTTTTCTATGATGGTTGTATTCAGCATGTGTGTGTTATCACAATTTTGTTGCAGTAAGAATGACACATCTTGTGCTTTTGGTAATGTTTTTTATTTCCCTCCAGTGAGCCTTACCAATTACATGCCACGATTCAATTTTCTGCACCTGGACTTTCCTGTGGTGATTGAAACATTTTGCAAGTATCCTTTTTTGTAATTCATACACCAAGCCTGTCGGGAGAGAGGAGTAAGTGCCGAACAGCCATTCACAATAATTTTCCTTATTGGGCAGCAAAAGCTCTATAAGATTTGCCTAAGCACTTTTAGAGACATTAAACTGTCATGAGATATTAAACCCTTGTTTAAAAATCCTTAGTATCTTATTTCCTTTCCAGTATTTCAGTTTGCAATTTTTTTTAATGATTAACTTAATTGTTTCACAATCACCACTGTTTGGTGTTAAACTGCAATGCAAAGTTTGAGTATGCGGTACAGTATTACCAGCCAAAACTGACTTAACACCTGAATTCCAGTTTCAAAACTGCAATACATTTGAACATAATACTTAATTATTGTTGAACAACCTTTTCCACATTTCATTGGAAAGTTGCAGAAGTGAATTATGGTTAGACAGCCAAGCAAATTTGGGTTAAGTTTCCCTTTTTATTTTCATTGGTTTATCAGTAGTTAAAATAACCTTTCCTGGATATAATGAAGCATGTAATTTATAAATTATTCTAGTTTAAGTGAAATAGCATACTTATGAATCATTGTACATCATGCATTATTCTCCATTTCCTTGACCTCACAATACCAGATACCTACTTTCACTTTCTGGAGCCCTAGCTGTCATCAATGCAGTCCCCTGTTTTGCTTTAGATGGACAATGGATGTTGAGTTCCTTTTTAGAAATTACTCTTGGATCTCTCATTGTAGAGAAGCAGAATCGTGAACTTGTCGGTTTTTTTATCTTGTTACTTGGCAGTGCTCTCTTAGCTTCAAATGTGGTGTTAGGGCTTTGGATGGTTACTGCCAGGTAGCAGATTAAACATGTTCAGGACTAATGAGTATATAATTATCAAATTCAGTACTGCACATTGTAAGATATTTCAGCTTCTGGGTCCAAGACAGCGATGAAACTCATATAATGCTCTTTGAGAGTGAGATAATTTTCCAAACTATTATTTTGGATCTCTCATTGAGCAAAAAATTCCTGTAGAGTAAGTATTTTAAGCTTTCACGATTTGTTGTTTATAGGGCAAGGAACCACTCAATACTTAGTTTGGTGATCTACTAGTTAAAATTGAAATGCACCAATTTTAAATGCAACTGCAGCTGATGTAACCTTTTGCAGTAATGTTGAGAAGTGTAATGCGAATAGGGAACCTGATATCAAAGTGTCCCTGTAATTCAGTTTTTTTTTAATTATTAGTTTAGTTTTGAGAAACGTGAAATTTGTAAATCAAATCTGAAGCAACTGTAAACTGCTTTTGGTCGTGTCTATAGATGATGAAACTGTACTGTACTGTATGGTACTGTGATCTGTGTTTTATTCATGGTACTCACAACTGAAAACGTAAATGTCACAAAATTGCTTATTCAAGGACTTGTCAACCATATCGTGTCTTGTATCATAAATATGGGAAGATCTTTTGATGATATTCATACTTATCCTTGCATGTATTGGAATGGATCATTATTTCAATAATTACCATGAACTACCCAAGAAAACCCTGCTCTTGGGGAAAGCTCTCAGAATTTCATTAAAATTCTGGGAATGTAATTTTTTCATTAAAAATATTTTTGAAAGGATAATACTATTATGGAATAAGCTAAATACTGTGTGTTTAAGCTTGATACTTTTTGCATTTTAGAGTGAAGTTTGGGGTAAGCATTCTTAATCATGGAATGCAATTCAAATATTTCAAATATAATATTCTCCGTGTTTGCACTGGTTTCCATCATTCGGATTAGTAGCAGGAGTATAGAGAGATGGACTGTAGATCAAGTTTATTTATGTATCTGAATATTTTAAACTCTTAAGGCTTTATGTTTTTTTAAAAAAAGTTTTTATTCCTGTAAAAAGCATTTGTGTTCATGGTAGATCAGTTCCATGATGTAATTTGCTTTTTTATTATACAGCTGTTTTATATCTATAGTACAGTACTGTGTTGTGTTGCATTGCATGATAACAAATACATTTTACCCACCACAAATTTTTATATTGTTCTCCCTGGAGACCAGTTGTTTTTCTTCAGTTTGTATTGTGGATTGAGTTGATTATTTGTGACACTGTCACGGTTGCATCTGGATCGTTTAAGTAGCAAAATGCATTTACTTGAACTAAGACAACGTGGAGAGTTCACTCCTTCTTCTTCCTAGACAATAACATACTCAGCGTATCAAGTGGACAGTTAAATGTTTACGTGTCACACTGAAGGTGCTAAAACTCCAATCTATGTTGAAGGATGTAAAGCAGGCAATCGGTCAAGTGCAATATTAATGCAGTGATTCTATCCTACTGTGTTTGCAATGATTGTATTTATTAGATCTGTTTGAAATGAATTTGAATCATACTCTGTTTTGTTGCTGCCACGTTTGTTGATTGTGTCGATGTAACCAGTATCTTATCTTCATTTTTCTGACTGAGACAGTAATACATTCTCTATTTCAATAGCATTCTAAAAAGTATTTTGTGCAATGGTTAATCTGGTTTCTAATCTGATGAGGTAGCCAGCAGAATATTGGTCAATGCGAGCATGAATTTTAGAGCTTCAAATGAGTTCCAGTCAATGTATACGAGGTCTGTTTTATCTTTGGTGTGCAAAATTCATGTTTTCCATAAAGGCCATTATTGATTGAAATAAAACAGACTATTCTTTTTTAAGGAGTTGACTCGGGAGTGAGAAATATCTGGTAATGTGTGCTAGATTCGGTCTGCAACTGACCCCAAATGCAGAAGCATATTTTGTAGCCAAGTATTAAACAAGTGAAAAGGGTGTCTACAACTGCACTACAGATTAATTATTGTCTTACACAGAATAATAGATGAATAATCCTTTTTTTTTAGTAGACTCTATGCTTCTTTATTTTAGAATTTGTGGTGCGTAAGATTAATTGACACACTTGATGGATATCCATATTGCATGATCAAGAGCTGTTCTTTAAGACATAGCCTTTCTTTTCCGTGTTAGTTCCTTGCAGATGGACACCATGTACTGAATGGGCAAGCAATGGGTTTTCAATGCTGTTTTGTGTCGAGCTTTCAAGCTTGTATATATGTAAGAAAACGTACCCTCACCTTTTTTTTTATCCCCTTCATCTCTTTGTTTCCCCAGGCAACTCTGGGGCAAAGATCAGGGAAAACCTAGCCGTTTCAATCCACGACAGTCCTCACTCAATCCCACCCCACCCCGCAGCGTGTCACGAAACTAACCTCTGTGACACCAAGATCATTTTGCTAACCTGTAGAGTAATGTGGTTGTGTGTGAGGAGACAAAAATACTTTTTGGGTTCCTTTGGCAGCCTTCCATTTTAGACGCTTTGAGTTATAGGTATTTACTTAGACAGTACTAACCTGCCCATTCTTCAATGTTTTGAATGCACAATAGCCAATTCTGAAATTACTTTGCTGAACATTTGTCAGGGGTGGGAAGAGGGGTCGAAGGAAAGGGCATCACTTAAAGCTTGGCTTACAGACCCAATCTGAGCCATCCTTCCCACCTGCAGACCTTGAGGCAAATCATTACTGTGCGCAATTGGCTGCCGTGTTTCGCCCACAAAACACAGTCACTACACTTTACAGTATATTCTGTGAAGCACTTTGAAACGTCTCGAAGACTTGATAAGGCGCTGTATCAAATGTAAGGATTATTAATATTATTAAGGCGGTGAAGGCACTGGGGGATGGAGTTCCAGAGCCTGGGGGCTGAGAGGCTGAAGGCCCGGCCACCGATGGTAGGGCGGTTGGGGCGGGGGATTTGGAGCAGACCGGAGCCAGAGGAATGGAGGATACGGGCGGGTAAGTAGGGGAATAGTAGGTCGGAGAGGTAGGAGGGAGCAAGGCCGTGAATGGCCTTGTAGGTGAGGATGAGGATCTTGAATTCGATCCTCTGGGGGATGGGGAGCCAGTGGAGGCGAGCGAGGGTGGGAGTGATGTGGTCGCGAGGCCTGGTGCGGGACAGTACACGAGCTGCAGAGTTCTGAATGATCTGCAGCTTGTGGAGAGAGGTGGCGGGAAGGCCGGCGAAGAGAGAGTTCCCATAGTTCAGCCTTGAGGTGATAAAGGCGTGGACCAGAGTTTCAGAGAATCTAAGACAGGATAAATAATGCTTCATATCGCTTTTGAGGGGGTGAGTCACTTTACATCTGTTGAAATCTGTTTAGATATTACTAAATTAATGGTTTAGTTGAAAAGGTGGTTTGTAAATCGAAAAATAACAAATTTTTATTTAATGTAGAATGTTTTTCTCTTGCAACATCAGAAGAAAAATGCTGAAGTACTTGAAAAGGGTGTTTTGACTTGCCTATCCTGCGAAGAAGCATTTTATTTTTGTTTGCTAACATCCTCTTAACCTCGGGGGTTAGTCATGACCACACATCTTATTCTACCTCTCCCATGATACTTTACCAATGTGCTGCCTGCTATATCACCCTCCCCACAATGTTCAAATCCTGTGACATTTCAACAATTAAGTGTTGCAGGTGGTTTCTTATTCTTCGCAACATTGGGGAAAGCGAGAGAAGATGAGTTTTGTTTTCATTCGTATGATGTGTTTGAACTTGTCTGGCTTTGGGGGAGGTGATCAGGGAGTCAAACTATTAAACACTGGCATATACAACAATATGAGTGAATGTAATATTGATTTGGATCCATACATGTATGTATGGCTTGGGCATCTCCGCAATGTTAAAAATGGCACCACAATCCTTTTAGCAGCACAATCTGTGGTGTAACTCATTTGTGGCATTAATATTTAAGGTTATAACATTTTCTGTATTTCTGATATGTGGAGGCCTGTAGCTCAGTGATTGGAGCACTCGCCTTGCAAACGAGAGACTTGAGTTTGATTCCTGTTTGGGCGAAACCTTGGGCAAGTTTCCTCCTTACTCCACATGCCTGATGATAATCTCTCAAGAAAAAAAACAATAATAATTTGGTTACTCAATCCGCGACTGTTTTTGGGACACTACTGTGTGCAATTGGCTGCCGGGTTTCGCCCACAAATATACGGTCAATTCACTTTACAGTATATTCTTGCATTTAACATAGCTTTAAGATGTCTAGAAGATGTGAAAAGCGCTATGTCAAATGCAAGGATTATTATTATTATACATGAGAAAAGTAATTTTGTGCCTTATTTGAGTTTATAATTCCATTTTTTAATTAATAAAGTTGATTTATAGTTGACCACAGTGTGATAGGGCAACCGTTCTAAAGGAACAGAAAATATTTGGGTATATAAGCGAGCCCGTGGAATAAAACTCCACGGAAATTAAACTGATAAGATTCCAGAGTGGCAGTGGAATATTGTTGTCAGATGTGATCGCAAAAAAAAATACAAGGTACCAGCTCTCTTATTATAAATGTTGAGAACAATTTACTGATCTATGAGATGGATATCATGTGGAGTTTATGATAAACAAGACCACGAGAACCAATTTATAAGTAAAAGAAAACAGCAAAACGGAAGAAGCAATTTCATGTTTAAAATTTCTTACATAGAGGATAGATTACAATTTAGAGTAATAAATGTTACCTTGGTTGAATTTAAGTTACTTATGATGATCATATTTCCTTGTCTCTAACTTATGAGAACTTTTTTCTCTCTTCGAACATTCAGTTCCTTTATTGGTAAAACCATATCTATGCTGAAATAACATGGTATAACAGTGGATTCCTTCCAAAAACAGCTCCATTTGTCTTTTTTTAAAAGGAACACGTATATTGTTATATATAATTTGCAGGTTTTGAATAGACGTCTCGTGGATTTTGCATGTCAAATGCATATAAATCTTGAGTCAAATTATTGCATTTCCCGCAGTTTACCAGCCATTGTCAGGGGAGGTGTGCATGACAGATACTGGCCTACAGAAGACGAGCGATTAATTGAGTACGACATTGATGACACAGTTTATGAAGCAGATTCTCGATATCAGAACATCAAGATTCTTCATTCAAAACAGTTTGGAAACATTCTTCTCCTCAACGATGATATTAGTAAGTATTCTGGTTGTGACACATGAACATGAAATACCACAACCATCTAATTAATTGTTAAATACTGTTAAGTAAACTTGAAAAGAGTTATTTGTGTTTTGTGCACTTTTGAAGATGATTTAATTCCATGAATCTCCACATCTAAAGGAGGTAGAACTCAACCTACCATACGTTAGCTGTAACTGATCTACAGCTTGGTTCATAGAGTAAGCTTTCACCCAGATGGAATTTCTGCCTAAAATCATTCTAGCTGGTATCTGGGTGTAAAGGTTTGCAAAATTTTTGAGCCCGAGCCAAATTCCTGCCCAGTATAATGCCGAAAGGAGATGATTGTTGTTTTGGAAGTCTAAGAAACATTGCTCATTTCTATATGAACTCGTGCAAAATGGCTTGTGGAATGTACTCCTCAACTGACAGATAGAAAACCTTTTGACACTGTTGCTCAATTTATTTCACCACTGTTTCCTAACTTGTATGTTTTAACATTACCTATCTATAAGACTACCATTCAAAACAAATTTTGCTTGCTGTACTTTCAGCGCCTTGGGATGTCCTCCCGACGTGAAAGGCGCTATACAAATGTAATTTTCTTGTTGTTGTTTATTGTTCAGATGTGTTTTCTGAAGAAAAACTGTTCTTTGGCAGATCCATTTCTTAATGCAGATTTTAGAAACTGTTTTAACATGTCCGGTCTTCATTGTACATTGGATAGAGGATTGAATTTTTCATCTGTTTTAAACCTGTTTCAGATTTAGCAGAGAGTGACCTCCCTTATACACAAGCCATAATGGGCAGTGGAACAGAGAACTACACAGGGAAAGAAGTTCTTATTCTAGGAGGAGGAGATGGGGGAATCCTACAGGAACTGGTGAAGTTAAAGCCAAAGATGGTCACCATGGTGGAAATATCCTTATCAATTTATTATCAACTTACTTAGCCAACTTCTCCCCCAACCCCTTTTCCATCAAACCCTCAACTGTCCACCGCCTTGGGATGTTCTCCCGATGCAAAAGTTGTTATAAAAATGTAAATTGTTGTTGTTGACACTGCCTATTGCTATGGTGGTTCCAGAGGCACAAGCAGTCCTTTGGTAGCTCACCTAGGTGACTGTTCTCTGTGTGAGACTTGATATCGGATGTCGGCAGACTATTCAAACTTTGAGGACTGCACAGCTGATCCTGTTTGGGCAACAGAGTAAGAAAAGAGGGCATTGAGATTAGAGCAGGTACCTCTGGTTGGGGAGCTTGAACCAACACAGATGCAATAATCCAAATTGCTTACTTTGTGCTGCAATACATTTTCAGTTTCTATTCAGGCTTTCCTTAACGAAGTCATACATTGACCAAATGGTGATTGATGCATGTCGCAAATACATGCGCAAAGCTTGTGGAGATGTTCTGGATCATCTGAAAGGCGATTGCTACCAGGTATAAAATGTTATTGCTCAGGGTAGATTTTATTTATGCCTGTAGAAGTGATAAGTAAAGATAAGTGTAGATCTGTGACAAAAATCTCTGCTGCCTCCTGTGTATGTTTATAAATATGAAGCCTGCCTTAAAAAGACTGGTTTGTGCAATAATAAGCAGTGTGGGATTCATTCTAGTCTCTTTTATGCTGTCAAAATGTTAACTTTTAAATATTTCTTTTGATGCTGTTCTGCATTTTTCTATTTCTTCGGTTACTCCAGGCTTAAATTAATGTTTTGACAAAATTGTGATCTGTTGTGTCTTGTGGCCACTGACAAGGTTGCAATATGCATGAAAATGTTTCAGTTCATTTTGAAGAGACTCGATTGAACAAAAGGATGAAATATATAAACAAATTGTCTTCTGATTTTCTTTAGGTGTTAGTGGAAGATTGCATTCCAGTGTTGAAGAGATATGGTGAGGAAGGAAGGCTGTTTGATTATGTAATTAATGACCTAACAGCTATTCCTATCTCCACTTCTCCAGAAGAAGGTAATACTTTAGAACGTAATTTGTAAAAAAAAAAGTTTTATCTTTCAGTCTTCCATGGCTTCTGATATGGATTTATTGAAAGGCCCAGCATCATGGTCTATTCAAAAATTGTGTTGAAAATTCTTGTCATTTGGGGTGCCTCCCCTGGGTCAGGCTTATTGATTGCTAATGAATCCTTTACTGCCTGGTAAAACCTTTCAGTCAATTTCACTTTATTAGCTGCAAACATATGCCTATGATGTGTGAAGGAACTTTGCTCAGGTGGCAGAGCAGGAAATGGCATTGAGTGCAAGAGGGTGAATTCATCTGAAATTTCATGTACATATTTAGAAGTTTATAAAATGGGAAGATTTTATTGCTGGGCACATGAAATCCAATGCTTACAGCTGAAAACTAGCCAAAAAGCTTTAAAAAAAACATGTAGAACTACATTGACTAATGACATATCAAAAACTCAAAATGGTAGATCTCTATGGAAGGGAAAAATAATTGTAGTATCGATATGGGAGTGTAACATAAACACATTTAAGAGGAAACTTGATATATAGATGAGGAAGAAGGGAATAGACATCAAGTTTCACCCACAAAATAAACAGTTAATACACATTACAGTATATTCTGTGAAGCGATTTGAGACGTCTCGAAGACGTGATAAGGCGCTATATAAATGTAAGTGGTTGTTATTCTCTTACTTTTAGATTTCAAGTCTCAGACCCTATCAAATTTGGCCTACATATGGACTTTTCACATCATTTTCCAAACTGACTATTGATTGAATTGGGAGTTAAATTCATTTCCAGCCATCTCTGAGAAAAGTCTATAGTGTCCTGGTTTATGCATAATTAGATCTTGTGGCAGTTTTAGTAAATCTACATGTGTAATGAAAACAAAATACAATAAAAAAAATATTTCTTTCTGTCTCCCTAGAATCTACTTGGGAGTTTTTGCGATCTATTCTTGATCTTTCTGTGAAGGTTCTGAAACCCACTGGGAAATACTTTACCCAGGTATGGCAGACTTACTTTATTCTGATTATAGCAAAGTAGATTTAGGATTGTAATTAACAACTATTAACTGCATTATGTTTCAATGCTAGTTAGAGACTTATCCAGTGGTTAGAGCACTCGCCTCATAAGCGAAAGACCTGGGTTCAATTCCAGGCAGGGTGAAACGTTGGGCAAGTTTTCTTACTCCACAGGGCTCTTTACTTAGCAGTAGGAACCCAGTTGTTAGACAATTGGCAAATTGCTTTTCCGGGGTAATAATTCCTTCAGAAAAAAAATAAGAAATTGGTCACTCAATCCGTGACTGTTTGTGGGAGACTTCTGTGCGCAATTGCCTGCCACGTTTTGCCCCCAAAATATAGTCAATTCACTTTACAATATATTCTGTGAAGCACTTTGAGAAGTCTTAAAGACCTGATAAGGCGTGATATCAAATACGAGGATTATTATCAGGCTTTTAATGACGTTATTTTGAGAATCACGTGACTGAGCTATTTATTATATAAATTTTATATTACATAAATGAGGATCATTGTGCAGTAGGTGACAACGCAGATTATGGCAGCATACATACAATGCACAATGATTTTCGCAGCTTAATGCATGAGCTTTTTTTAAAATGGAGAACCTATATTACTTCATTGAAATATATAATTGTATCTCCACTATAGTGCAGCTGATTTATTTTTAAATAAACTGGCGCTAGATATTTGCCTATGTTGGGGGTGGGGCAGGAGGAGAAGTATATCGGGGAATGAACACTCCCTTCAGCCTGTGCATTGAAACTCTAATTTCTGTGTGTGGATAAATTCCATATCTTTTTCAGTCTTCATAGTAATCTAAAGTTTGTGTGAACCATTAGAAATTTACAGCACAGTGGAGCCCATCATGTTGACTCTTTCATTCAGAGTGACTACAAATGAAGACTCCTAGTATTACTATGAATTTCAGAATTCTAAAGAGTGCCAGATTTCAAATATGTTTTTGAATTTTCTTTTTTGATGAAAAAATGAATTAGTGAATTTTGAGTATTTTTGACAATTTGGACAATCTAGAAGCAATACATTACATTTCCACTAGATGGGGTTACAATGATGCACAATTTTACCTTCAGAAATGAGTCAGATTAATATTTAAAGTGGTGTTAACCTATAATACCTCTTTGTTTCATCATTGTGGAGTCCTGTAGCTCAGTGTTAGAGCACTCGCTTTGCAAGCGAGAGACCTGAGTTCAATTCCAGGCAGAGGGCGAAACCTTGGGCAAGTTTCCTTATCCACACAGAGCCTAATAATAATCCCTCCAAAACAACAATAATAAAAATTGGTCATTTTAATCTACGACTGTTTGTGGGTCATTGACTCTGAGAATATATAAGGATAAGCTTGTGACGTTCGATATCCAGAGCTCTGTAGTGGACGGTGAAGGTCAAAGAATTCAAAATGTATGTGTTCCACAAGTGGAAGGTGTTTATACCTGATTGTTTGAACAAGATACAATTGTTTGAACAAGATAGTGTGACTTGTGATTTTAAATATATATATATATATATAAATTTGTGAATGTGCCTATCAAATCTTCCCAAATGGTTCGGGAAGATCAAATTGCCAGCTGTATATCCAAAAGTGTTTGAAGATGGGTGTTACAGAGGCACAAACAACGCAATACAAATTAACGTTCATATCGCTCCTTTCACATTGAGAGGACATCCCAAAGCATTTAACAGTACTGGCTGGGACCCAAACTGGGGGAATAGGAGCCAAGAGGGCTCCTAAAGTAAACCCATTATCCTTTGAATAAATAATTTTTGGTAGTATGTTTGTGTCTACTGCGCTTTCCTTAAGCACCATCCAGACACTTTTTTTGATCGCCTGCACAGAGGCGCAGAGTTCTGCTGAGATTAGCCGAGAGTATTGCAGAGCTAGCAATATAATTGCATGTTTGACAATGGGATCTTAGTCTGAAAACTGGGTGTTTATTAAGGAACCGTGTATGCGAGTCCTTATCAGAGATTTGGCCTGATAATGTTAATGGTAGCTCTCACAGAGTAAAAAGGGGCTCAGGCCCTTGTCTTCGCAGTCTGTAGTTTCTCCCAATCGTGATTGATTTAAATTGGTTTATTTGAATGTTGCACATGCTCGGATAGTTAAGCAAATGTTTCATTTGTGCTCATGCAGTTTTCTGTGTCCCAAGATCTACCACAAGACCAGTACAAATAAAAGCTCTGATTCTGTTTTGTTCTGTGTTTTTAAACATACTTCCAACTTCAGCCACAAGACCTTGCAGCTGCCTGAATCAAATTATTTGGAAACTGGCTGCACTGGAACGATTCTTGAGAACCAGCAATGACACTTGAGCATCATAGTGAGGCCTGAACATTTATATTTAAAAATCATGGGTTTTCCGATATTTTGTTCTGTGAACGTGCAAATCCTATGGAATACATTTTCCTGATCGACCTCTGCCTAAATAAAGATAATGGAGGCCAGGAGTTGTGCCTGAATAGCAGATGACATTTTACTTCTTTTACATTTTGGTTTCTTTACTGTTATTTAGGTTGAGGGGAGCTGTCCTTGAATACTAGGCAATTTGGCTCTTTTTTCCTGTTCTCACTACTGCTATTTAGGTTGTTATGGATGAAATAAAAATGTTGTCGTGGATGAAATAAAATCCTGTCACTGAGTGTTCAATTAGCAAGAGCGGTGGCAGCAGTCAGCGAATATAGAGAAGTGAAAGGCCTTTAGCACGGGTGGCTTTCATGTGGGTTATTATTACTTCATTATAGGGGCCCACATTGGTAGGGATGTGTTTCTTGTCAGGCCTCTAGTGTCTAAACATTTGGCAATGAAATGTATGAATGTCAGTTGACACCTCTTATCACTGTAATTAGTTCCATTTGAAAATTCCTATGACTATTTCATCTCAAAGCTATTCCATAACAAAGGGTGGGAGATGGACAAGAAGCGAAAGCTCTTAATGGGACACTGTGCTGTATCACATCCCAACCCATTGGTCTTGAACACAGAATATAGAAATTAAATGCCAAAGAAACATTAAGAAGGATCAAGCATGAAGCAGATGGTGGTGTTTTAAAGCTCACGATTATCTGAAGTAATATTCATTTCTATATTTCAGCTATGCAATAAACTGCAAGACAAAATGAAAGACCTGTTGAAGGGAAATATCCAAAAGCTCAAACGGTAAGAATTGTCATTAACCAGACTGTCCAGTTATTCCCTATGCAAACTGCAGACAATTCAGAACTCTGTAGCCTATGTCCTTTCTTGCACCAGGGTCCGTGAGCACATCATCGGCCATCCTTGCTCAGCTCTACGACCTACCAATTTCCCAGCTCATTGGGTTAAAAATTCTTGTTCTTGATTTCGAGCACCTCTCATGCTCCTTCCCTTACCCCTGTGATTTCCTGCTGCCCGGCTATCTTCTACTTCCTGGAACTCTCAGTCCCTCAATCACCCTCCCACCCCCACCTCCCTTTCACTCCACCCCTCCACCCCAACTCCCAGCTCGGATCCCAAAATCCCTGACTGTCCAGTGCCCTGAGATGTCTTTCTGACTTGAAGGGTGCTATACAAGTGTAAATTGTTGCTGTCATGGCCGCTCAAAAAACTAAACACAGGAATCTACAACAACAACAAGATTTCATTTATAGAGCGCTTTTCATGTCGGGAGGACGTCCCAAGGCGCTGGACAATTGGGTCGGGACCCGAGCAGGGGGTAAATGGTCAGGGTGAGGGGAGAGAAAGGAGGGAGCGAGGAGGGGGTAGAGAGTCGAGAGGGGAGCTGAAGGCACGGTCGAAGAGAAAGGTATTGAGACCGGCCTTGAAGGAGGAGAGGGAGGAGGCGGTGAAGGCACTGGGGGATGGAGTTCCAGAGCCTGGGGGCTGAGAGGCTGAAGGCCCGGCCACCGATGGTAGGGCGGTTGGGGCGGGGGATTTGGAGCAGACCGGAGCCAGAGGAATGGAGGATACGGGCGGGTAAGTAGGGGAATAGTAGGTCGGAGAGGTAGGAGGGAGCAAGGCCGTGAATGGCCTTGTAGGTGAGGATGAGGATCTTGAATTCGATCCTCTGGGGGATGGGGAGCCAGTGGAGGCGAGCGAGGGTGGGAGTGATGTGGTCGCGAGGCCTGGTGCGGGACAGTACACGAGCTGCAGAGTTCTGAATGATCTGCAGCTTGTGGAGAGAGGTGGCGGGAAGGCCGGCGAAGAGAGAGTTCCCATAGTTCAGCCTTGAGGTGATAAAGGCGTGGACCAGAGTTTCAGAGAATCTAAGACAGGATAAATAATGCTTCATATCGCTTTTGAGGGGGTGAGTCACTTTACATCTGTTGAAATCTGTTTAGATATTACTAAATTAATGGTTTAGTTGAAAAGGTGGTTTGTAAATCGAAAAATAACAAATTTTTATTTAATGTAGAATGTTTTTCTCTTGCAACATCAGAAGAAAAATGCTGAAGTACTTGAAAAGGGTGTTTTGACTTGCCTATCCTGCGAAGAAGCATTTTATTTTTGTTTGCTAACATCCTCTTAACCTCGGGGGTTAGTCATGACCACACATCTTATTCTACCTCTCCCATGATACTTTACCAATGTGCTGCCTGCTATATCACCCTCCCCACAATGTTCAAATCCTGTGACATTTCAACAATTAAGTGTTGCAGGTGGTTTCTTATTCTTCGCAACATTGGGGAAAGCGAGAGAAGATGAGTTTTGTTTTCATTCGTATGATGTGTTTGAACTTGTCTGGCTTTGGGGGAGGTGATCAGGGAGTCAAACTATTATAACACTGGCATATACAACAATATGAGTGAATGTAATATTGATTTGGATCCATACATGTATGTATGGCTTGGGCATCTCCGCAATGTTAAAAATGGCACCACAATCCTTTTAGCAGCACAATCTGTGGTGTAACTCATTTGTGGCATTAATATTTAAGGTTATAACATTTTCTGTATTTCTGATATGTGGAGGCCTGTAGCTCAGTGATTGGAGCACTCGCCTTGCAAACGAGAGACTTGAGTTTGATTCCTGTTTGGGCGAAACCTTGGGCAAGTTTCCTCCTTACTCCACATGCCTGATGATAATCTCTCAAGAAAAAAAACAATAATAATTTGGTTACTCAATCCGCGACTGTTTTTGGGACACTACTGTGTGCAATTGGCTGCCGGGTTTCGCCCACAAATATACGGTCAATTCACTTTACAGTATATTCTTGCATTTAACATAGCTTTAAGATGTCTAGAAGATGTGAAAAGCGCTATGTCAAATGCAAGGATTATTATTATTATACATGAGAAAAGTAATTTTGTGCCTTATTTGAGTTTATAATTCCATTTTTTAATTAATAAAGTTGATTTATAGTTGACCACAGTGTGATAGGGCAACCGTTCTAAAGGAACAGAAAATATTTGGGTATATAAGCGAGCCCGTGGAATAAAACTCCACGGAAATTAAACTGATAAGATTCCAGAGTGGCAGTGGAATATTGTTGTCAGATGTGATCGCAAAAAAAAATACAAGGTACCAGCTCTCTTATTATAAATGTTGAGAACAATTTACTGATCTATGAGATGGATATCATGTGGAGTTTATGATAAACAAGACCACGAGAACCAATTTATAAGTAAAAGAAAACAGCAAAACGGAAGAAGCAATTTCATGTTTAAAATTTCTTACATAGAGGATAGATTACAATTTAGAGTAATAAATGTTACCTTGGTTGAATTTAAGTTACTTATGATGATCATATTTCCTTGTCTCTAACTTATGAGAACTTTTTTCTCTCTTCGAACATTCAGTTCCTTTATTGGTAAAACCATATCTATGCTGAAATAACATGGTATAACAGTGGATTCCTTCCAAAAACAGCTCCATTTGTCTTTTTTTAAAAGGAACACGTATATTGTTATATATAATTTGCAGGTTTTGAATAGACGTCTCGTGGATTTTGCATGTCAAATGCATATAAATCTTGAGTCAAATTATTGCATTTCCCGCAGTTTACCAGCCATTGTCAGGGGAGGTGTGCATGACAGATACTGGCCTACAGAAGACGAGCGATTAATTGAGTACGACATTGATGACACAGTTTATGAAGCAGATTCTCGATATCAGAACATCAAGATTCTTCATTCAAAACAGTTTGGAAACATTCTTCTCCTCAACGATGATATTAGTAAGTATTCTGGTTGTGACACATGAACATGAAATACCACAACCATCTAATTAATTGTTAAATACTGTTAAGTAAACTTGAAAAGAGTTATTTGTGTTTTGTGCACTTTTGAAGATGATTTAATTCCATGAATCTCCACATCTAAAGGAGGTAGAACTCAACCTACCATACGTTAGCTGTAACTGATCTACAGCTTGGTTCATAGAGTAAGCTTTCACCCAGATGGAATTTCTGCCTAAAATCATTCTAGCTGGTATCTGGGTGTAAAGGTTTGCAAAATTTTTGAGCCCGAGCCAAATTCCTGCCCAGTATAATGCCGAAAGGAGATGATTGTTGTTTTGGAAGTCTAAGAAACATTGCTCATTTCTATATGAACTCGTGCAAAATGGCTTGTGGAATGTACTCATCAACTGACAGATAGAAAACCTTTTGACACTGTTGCTCAATTTATTTCACCACTGTTTCCTAACTTGTATGTTTTAACATTACCTATCTATAAGACTACCATTCAAAACAAATTTTGCTTGCTGTACTTTCAGCGCCTTGGGATGTCCTCCCGACGTGAAAGGCGCTATACAAATGTAATTTTCTTGTTGTTGTTTATTGTTCAGATGTGTTTTCTGAAGAAAAACTGTTCTTTGGCAGATCCATTTCTTAATGCAGATTTTAGAAACTGTTTTAACATGTCCGGTCTTCATTGTACATTGGATAGAGGATTGAATTTTTCATCTGTTTTAAACCTGTTTCAGATTTAGCAGAGAGTGACCTCCCTTATACACAAGCCATAATGGGCAGTGGAACAGAGAACTACACAGGGAAAGAAGTTCTTATTCTAGGAGGAGGAGATGGGGGAATCCTACAGGAACTGGTGAAGTTAAAGCCAAAGATGGTCACCATGGTGGAAATATCCTTATCAATTTATTATCAACTTACTTAGCCAACTTCTCCCCCAACCCCTTTTCCATCAAACCCTCAACTGTCCACCGCCTTGGGATGTTCTCCCGATGCAAAAGTTGTTATAAAAATGTAAATTGTTGTTGTTGACACTGCCTATTGCTATGGTGGTTCCAGAGGCACAAGCAGTCCTTTGGTAGCTCACCTAGGTGACTGTTCTCTGTGTGAGACTTGATATCGGATGTCGGCAGACTATTCAAACTTTGAGGACTGCACAGCTGATCCTGTTTGGGCAACAGAGTAAGAAAAGAGGGCATTGAGATTAGAGCAGGTACCTCTGGTTGGGGAGCTTGAACCAACACAGATGCAATAATCCAAATTGCTTACTTTGTGCTGCAATACATTTTCAGTTTCTATTCAGGCTTTCCTTAACGAAGTCATACATTGACCAAATGGTGATTGATGCATGTCGCAAATACATGCGCAAAGCTTGTGGAGATGTTCTGGATCATCTGAAAGGCGATTGCTACCAGGTATAAAATGTTATTGCTCAGGGTAGATTTTATTTATGCCTGTAGAAGTGATAAGTAAAGATAAGTGTAGATCTGTGACAAAAATCTCTGCTGCCTCCTGTGTATGTTTATAAATATGAAGCCTGCCTTAAAAAGACTGGTTTGTGCAATAATAAGCAGTGTGGGATTCATTCTAGTCTCTTTTATGCTGTCAAAATGTTAACTTTTAAATATTTCTTTTGATGCTGTTCTGCATTTTTCTATTTCTTCGGTTACTCCAGGCTTAAATTAATGTTTTGACAAAATTGTGATCTGTTGTGTCTTGTGGCCACTGACAAGGTTGCAATATGCATGAAAATGTTTCAGTTCATTTTGAAGAGACTCGATTGAACAAAAGGATGAAATATATAAAACAAATTGTCTTCTGATTTTCTTTAGGTGTTAGTGGAAGATTGCATTCCAGTGTTGAAGAGATATGGTGAGGAAGGAAGGCTGTTTGATTATGTAATTAATGACCTAACAGCTATTCCTATCTCCACTTCTCCAGAAGAAGGTAATACTTTAGAACGTAATTTGTAAAAAAAAAAGTTTTATCTTTCAGTCTTCCATGGCTTCTGATATGGATTTATTGAAAGGCCCAGCATCATGGTCTATTCAAAAATTGTGTTGAAAATTCTTGTCATTTGGGGTGCCTCCCCTGGGTCAGGCTTATTGATTGCTAATGAATCCTTTACTGCCTGGTAAAACCTTTCAGTCAATTTCACTTTATTAGCTGCAAACATATGCCTATGATGTGTGAAGGAACTTTGCTCAGGTGGCAGAGCAGGAAATGGCATTGAGTGCAAGAGGGTGAATTCATCTGAAATTTCATGTACATATTTAGAAGTTTATAAAATGGGAAGATTTTATTGCTGGGCACATGAAATCCAATGCTTACAGCTGAAAACTAGCCAAAAAGCTTTAAAAAAAACATGTAGAACTACATTGACTAATGACATATCAAAAACTCAAAATGGTAGATCTCTATGGAAGGGAAAAATAATTGTAGTATCGATATGGGAGTGTAACATAAACACATTTAAGAGGAAACTTGATATATAGATGAGGAAGAAGGGAATAGACATCAAGTTTCACCCACAAAATAAACAGTTAATACACATTACAGTATATTCTGTGAAGCGATTTGAGACGTCTCGAAGACGTGATAAGGCGCTATATAAATGTAAGTGGTTGTTATTCTCTTACTTTTAGATTTCAAGTCTCAGACCCTATCAAATTTGGCCTACATATGGACTTTTCACATCATTTTCCAAACTGACTATTGATTGAATTGGGAGTTAAATTCATTTCCAGCCATCTCTGAGAAAAGTCTATAGTGTCCTGGTTTATGCATAATTAGATCTTGTGGCAGTTTTAGTAAATCTACATGTGTAATGAAAACAAAATACAATAAAAAAAATATTTCTTTCTGTCTCCCTAGAATCTACTTGGGAGTTTTTGCGATCTATTCTTGATCTTTCTGTGAAGGTTCTGAAACCCACTGGGAAATACTTTACCCAGGTATGGCAGACTTACTTTATTCTGATTATAGCAAAGTAGATTTAGGATTGTAATTAACAACTATTAACTGCATTATGTTTCAATGCTAGTTAGAGACTTATCCAGTGGTTAGAGCACTCGCCTCATAAGCGAAAGACCTGGGTTCAATTCCAGGCAGGGTGAAACGTTGGGCAAGTTTTCTTACTCCACAGGGCTCTTTACTTAGCAGTAGGAACCCAGTTGTTAGACGATTGGCAAATTGCTTTTCCGGGGTAATAATTCCTTCAGAAAAAAAATAAGAAATTGGTCACTCAATCCGTGACTGTTTGTGGGAGACTTCTGTGCGCAATTGCCTGCCACGTTTTGCCCCCAAAATATAGTCAATTCACTTTACAATATATTCTGTGAAGCACTTTGAGAAGTCTTAAAGACCTGATAAGGCGTGATATCAAATACGAGGATTATTATCAGGCTTTTAATGACGTTATTTTGAGAATCACGTGACTGAGCTATTTATTATATAAATTTTATATTACATAAATGAGGATCATTGTGCAGTAGGTGACGACGCAGATTATGGCAGCATACATACAATGTACAATGATTTTCGCAGCTCAATGCATGAGCTTTTTTAAAATGGAGAACCTATATTACTTCATTGAAATATATAATTGTATCTCCACTATAGTGCAGCTGATTTATTTTTAAATAAACTGGCGCTGGATATTTGCCTGTGTTGGGGGTGGGGCAGGAGGAGAAGTATATCGGGGAATGAACACTCCCTTCAGCCTGTGCATTGAAACTCTAATTTCTGTGTGTGGATAAATTCCATATCTTTTTCAGTCTTCATAGTAATCTAAAGTTTGTGTGAACCATTAGAAATTTACAGCACAGTGGAGCCCATCATGTTGACTCTTTCATTCAGAGTGACTACAAATGAAGACTCCTAGTATTACTATGAATTTCAGAATTCTAAAGAGTGCCAGATTTCAAATATGTTTTTGAATTTTCTTTTTTGATGAAAAAATGAATTTTGAGTATTTTTGACAATTTGGACAATCTAGAAGCAATACATTACATTTCCACTAGATGGGGTTACAATGATGCACAATTTTACCTTCAGAAATGAGTCAGATTAATATTTAAAGTGGTGTTAACCTATAATACCTCTTTGTTTCATCATTGTGGAGTCCTGTAGCTCAGTGGTTAGAGCACTCACTTTGCAAGCGAGAGACCTGAGTTCAATTCCAGGCAGAGGGCGAAACCTTGGGCAAGTTTCCTTACTCCACACGTCTAATAATAATCCCTCCAAAACCAAAAACAATAATAAAAATTGGTCATTTTCAATCTACGACTGTTTGTGGGTCATTGCTGTGCGCAATTGGCTGCCGCGTTCGCCCACAAATATACAGTCAATTCACTTTACGGTGTGTTCTGTGAAGCGCTTTGGGACGTCCTCCCGACGTGAAAAGCGCTATATCAAATGCAAGGATTATTATTATTATTATATTGTCTACAAATCTACTATTGCAATCTTTTGACATGTTCTAATATAAAAGGTTTGCCATTTCCTCAAATTTATTTACTTTACAAAATATTGCTGTTTTTCCAGTTAATAGACAGTTCACTTGTATATCAAGAAAATGAATTGGGTGATTATAAACAACAAAATACACTTAGAATCAAATTGAAACGGATACAGATAAAAGTACAAATCTACACATTTAATTTTCCTCTGCTTTTATATCTAACCTTCCTGTTCGACCGTGCCTTCAGCCATCCTCCCACCCCCTCTGCCCTCCGCTTCTGACCCCAGCTCGGGTCCCAAACCCCTGGTAGTCCAGTGCCCTGGGACGTCTTTCCGATGTGAAGGGTGCTATACAAGTCTAATTTGTTGTTGTTCACTTTTCACGGAGGCCTTCAACTACTTGAATGAACAAGAAGATAATACTGATGTGTTCTAGCTAATGTATTATGGAAAAAGGCGGTGTGAAATCTTGGAACATAATACTAACTTGATTTGAACAATTTCTTACAACTAGTAGTTGACTATTATTCCAATTTTGATCTTGCAGTGGGGAAATCATAAATTACTCCTATAAAGTTGTCTCTCTTTACTTCCACCTGCCTCCAACTCAATTTTAATAAATAAATAAATAAATAAATAAATAATTCTACTGGCTCATGTGTAGACTCCCATGGCGTTGATAAATGCATTAGAAGTCTAGCAGGAATCTACACGCACACTCACGGAAATTGGTAATGCATTAATTATACTTAACTCAATTAGAACTGACAACTGAAAGAGGTGGGGTGTCTGTGAGGCACAGGACTAAAAATGAGTGGCAACTGGCTAGGTTAGACAGGTTGTTGCTGAATATAGGTGGTTTATTATAGGAGATCAGTCGGGACTGTTCCAAGGTGCTTGTTGACAGCAGGTGGTTGTTGAATAGTAGTGGTTGTCTTATCAGGTTTGACTGTATATTTAAGAATTGCCTTGGTACATCAAGGTGACCGATGCTGTACCTAATTGCATTTATCTTGGTCTCCATTATTATGATTATTATTAGTGCATCATAGATACTCACTCGCCCGCTGATGGCATGAGAATTGAGATATGGACTAACCACACATAGATGCAGTGTTTGGGGGCTGTGAGTTAAGCAACATCGTGCTTGGGTTAGTTTAAAAAAAAAATTGGTAATTTGGTCATTCAATCCATGAGTGTTTGTGGAATACTGCTGTGCGCAACTGGCTGCCATGTTTCGCCCACGGAATAAACAATCAATTCACATTACAATATATTCTGTGAAGTGCTTTGAGACTTCTCAACTAAGTGATAAGGCACTATATCAAATGTAAGAATTATTATTATTATCTTTTCATTTTTGCCTGTTTTTCCCTTTAGGGTAACTGTGTGAACATGACAGAAGGATTGGCAATGTATGAAGAGCAGCTTAACAGGCTATCCTGTCCTGTGGAATTTTCAAAGAAAGTTGTATGCGTTCCCTCATACATGGAATTGTATCCTTTTTTATCAAACTACTTGTACAGATTCTACGTCTCTAAAGAGCTTGTCTTTGGAAATGCCACGGCTTGAATTGAGATGCCGGAGTTGATTTTAATTCTGTGCAACAATATTATATTAGTCTGTTTTGTTGCTTTCTATTGACTGACAACCTCTGCATTTGTTATTTTACTGGAGCTCAAAGAATAATGGAAATATGACAGTTACACTAATTGCTCAATGTTAAAATTTGTCACTGCACCAATTGTCTTTATCCCCTAAAGGATTGTATAAAATCCTCACCCTTACCTTCAAATGCCTCTGTGGCCTTCCCCATTCTACATCTGCAATCTCCTATGATCCAATAATACATCCAGTAATACACTCAGCTTTGGCATCTCTGGGCAGGCGAGTTATCAGCCACTTTGCCATCCTTTGGAACTTTTTCAGTCTTGTCTCCCACACATTTGCCTTCAGCCACGTCCATCCCTCCTATCCCCCTCCCAACTTGGCTCCCATTCACATTCTGCGTGAAAGGCTCTATACAAGTATAAATTATGTGTGTGTGATCTGCATATAAAAATCTAGATGGCTTAATTTCCTTATCATCTTATTTCAGGTGGGTGTTCTACACTGTCTGGAAAAAGTAAAGCTAGTCTTTACAGAAGAAAAAGTTACAAGTTGTAATTTTATGAAACCCAATAAAATCATTAAAACACAAAAAATAATTACAGAACTATGTGCTGCATGATGCTTCCTTCCTAGCTTCCACCTGTTGCATGTTCTATCCCAAATTGAACAAATACTGTAAGCTTAAATCAAGACTACAGCTGTCCAATATGTATTGGATCGTGGTGTGATTTGATTCTTTTCAGGAAAGATCCAGCTTGTATATTTTGGTGAGTTTTTTTTTAAATTTCTAGGCAATCAATTTACATTTTAAGTGGAAGTGCAAGGAGGATACTGAATGCACTGGACCATTGAATGTTACTGTTAACCTGAATCTAGATCTTTTGCTTTATAAATATTTAATAGATTGGTTCAGATTTGTGTTTAGTGGTGATGTTTTATCCCAGTTATTTTTTTATCCCAGAATCTTTAACCCTTTAGATATATTATTGCCATTGCATGTTTGAAAATTGTACGTGTGTTTATCATGAAACATCTGAGTAAACTGACGTTTTACAATTTATTTATTTGTTGTGTTCTCTTAATAAAGTAGAATATTGGAATTTCCTGTCAGTATAACTTTTCGATTGCAGTCTTTTAAAAGAGTCAATAGAAGGGAAGATGCGATTTAAAAGAGGTGTGAACTGCTTTGATGAAGGATGGAATAATTTCCCTTTCAATGTGTCAACATGTGTTTGCTGCTGTTTATACAGGGACGTTGTTAATATTGGGTTTCTCTGTTTGACTCCATTAATCACAGCAGAATTGTTTTCCTTTCTTGGTTCAGTGAAAATACTTCCACTGCTCACAGTGAGAACACTAGCTTCTGTCAGATGTATTTATTTTGGTCAGATATTAATGAACAATGGGTTACAGTAGTATCATCTTAATCATAAATTTAAGTGAAAGTCTCATCCTTTATGTTGCTACAGGCATGGGAAAATTTGATTTGGCAATATGACTGTTTTTTATTCTGACAGCAGTAACCTTAAATTGAATGGATGTGGTTAAAGCCGTACAGATCTACTTTGCTCTTTGTGCCAATAGAAACTTTATTATGTATCAAGGGGCCAATGTGCCAGACCTTTTAAATATGTCAATCAAATCAGAATGGTTCTAACATTTTTGCTAAATTGTGTCAATAATAGTACAAATTAAGGGAATATTTGATGTCATCTTTTTGTATCTGTGAAGAAATACTTATAATAAAAGCGGGGAAATTGAAGCTAATACAGCAAATGGCACTTTTTAACAGTTGGTGATATTTACCTTACAGTATAGGTACTTTTTCTTTTCTCATTCTTTTAAAATGTAAACTAGAAATTCCACCAAAAGGGATATCAATCTCCAAAAAAGTGATCAGAATTGATAGTCTCAGGATTGAGTATTTGAGCTTTTTGTAAACAGTTTCATGCTTCATGCAGACTGAATGCAGTGCATATTTGCAAATGTATAATTGAATTTTCAATCGTGTTATAATGTGCTGTTTTGAAAATCACTTCCTATTGGAATCTTGTTATGGTGCTGCACAAGAAACAAATCTTTCCCTCTGTCAGTTAGATGCCCTGTTCTTTTCAATCATTCTTAAGTAATTTAGCCTTTCCCGATAGCATTGAAGATATAAAAGAGCGATGTGAGCGATTAAAAATGGACAGTAATTTTAATGTTTGTGCATGCAAAAATACATGTACATACATGTGTGTAAATGCTTTTTTGTATATCAAACATGCAATGACATAATTAAATTGAGATTTTAATCATGAGCCTTTGCACTAAATGCTGCTCCCACTGTGTAGAACTGTTTGGACATGTGAAATGGCGTAAGAGTTTATAAAGGATTTATTCAATAGCAGTTTAGTTCTGTAATAAAAAAAAGTCTGGTGTTGCTGTAGTGCAGTAAAGCTTTCAATAAAGGTCTGTTGAAAAATCATGTTTGTTTTTGTGAGAACTGTTAAGATAGATAAGTTGTATGTTTTTAGTAAGTCTTTCAATAAGACCATTCTTGCCCTTATCTGATAATGCAATAAATTAATGGAGTAATCTTTTGGATGACTCTCGTCAGTTCAGCCCCGAAGGTTATTGGATCGAATCACAATAGGATCACTCAACCCACGAACACTGATAAAATAAATATAATAATAATCCTTGCATTTGATATAGCGCTTTTCACGTCTTCTAGACGTCTGAAAGCGTCTGTACACTGTAAAGTGAATTGACCGTATATTTGTGGGTGAAACTCGGCAGCCAGTGTCCCCCAAACAGTCATGGATTGAAAATGACCAATTTATGATTGTTTTGGAGGGATTATTATTAGGTGTGTGGAGTAAGGAAACTTGCCCAAGGTTTCGTCCTGCCGGGAATTAAACCCAGATGTCTTGCTTGCAAAGCGAGTGCTCTAACCACTGAGCTACAGGACTCCATGATCTGATGGGCCAGATGACCTGTTCCTGTGCTGTTTAATTCTATGAGTCTTATGACCTGCAACCCCAACAGATTGCACTGAATTGCCTTGGAGGATGGTATAGCAGGAAGAAAGAAACCGAAGCCAACACAAGGGAAAAACACACACGCGAGAGTCTTTTCGAATCAACAGGTTAAATCATCTTAAACAAACCAAAAAGTAAAACGCTTCTATCCCATCATACGATACTTAATCTATTTATTATTTAAGTTTGTAAATATTTATTAAGTTTCAACTTGTCAGGAAATCATCTGGCCCTTCAGATGAGATGTTAGCTTAAGGTCCCGTATACCTGGCAACGTGGATGTTAAAGATCCCTAGGCACTATTTGAAAACAGAAAGGAGTTTCTCCCAGTGTCCTGGCCAACAATCTCAAATAAAAAAACTGGTCACTCACTCCATGGTTGTTTGTCAGTCATTGCCTCGCGCGGGTTGTCTGTCTGTCCTGCTTTCCCACAAAATGCACAGTTGCATCACTTTCCAATATATCCTGTGAAGCGCTTTGAGATGTTTCGACGATCCGATGTGATAATTTCTATTGAAATGTATTGCTCCATCACTTTGGAGCAGAAGATCTTGAAAGTAATTAGGATTTTACGATTTTTGGGACTTTCATACTTGGTAGCTAACATTTAGATCAAACTAAATCCTCCTGACTTGAAAGGTACTATACAAATGTAATTTTGTATTGTAACTAATTACTAAACAAATTAGCCTGTAATTTTTTTACAATCCTAGTGAGACAGAATTTTGTTCAATGATATAACAACTTCTTATCAATTCCCTTCAAAGTCATGTTAGGTGGAGTCACCTGGAGTTGTGTGTATGCTTTTGATCTGGCCTAAATAGTGTATTTCATGCTGCTGTGCATCCCATCTACCATTATTGTAAGTATGCCTTCTGCAAATTCTGTATGTGGTCTGAATGCAATGTATTAATTTGTTGCAATGAATTTCTGTTTATTGAAATGCTAAAGCTTAATTATTGTTCTTGAGTCTTCCCGGTAGCCCTGTCATAACAGAAATATAATAATAATCATTGCATTTGACATAGTGCCTTATCACATCTTCGAGACATCTCAAAGCACTTCACAGAATATACTGTAAAGTGAGTTGACTGTATATTGTGTGGGCGAAACACAGCAGCCAATTGTGCATAGCAGTGGCCCACAAACAGTCGTGGATTGGATGACCAAATTTTTTTTAAAAGGGATTATTATCTCTAGAAAAGTTAACCGCCAATCAACTAACAAGGTTTCAATTTACTGCTAGGTAAATAGAGGCATATGGAGTAAGGAAACTTGTCCAACGTTTCGATCTGCCAGGAATCAAACCCAGTTTCACTCGTTTGCCAGGTGAGTGCTCTAACCACTAAGCTACGTTACTCCACATATAAACATGAGCAGTGCACAATTGACTATTACGATATAGCAGGCCCCCAGTGTATCCTGAATGATGTATTCGAGCCTGGGACTAGTGAGGAGAAATCTTTAGAAAACTTGGTTTCAGTAGCTTTTAGCACTTTTTTCATGGGGAAGATTTTGAGAAGTGCAATTTTTTCCAAGAATGAAATTCTGCGCACAATTATGGTGGTCTACATAAAACGTATCACCATTAACACAGGCACCAGTTTCTGGAGAGAAACAGATGGTGGGGGTGAAACTGCTTTCCATAAAGCAAAATGACTAATGTCAGAAGAAATGCTTCTCCATTGTGATCCATATTTTTGTGTCAAATTGACCTTCGTTACCCTATGGATTGGGCAGTTACAGGTTATGGAAAACCAGTGTTTTTTAAAAAACAACTGCAAAATGAAACTCCCTGATTGATAAGAAAGTCTTGGAGTTGATATATAATGTGAAACAATTTCATATTTTGTGCAGGCATTAGTGATGGATCATCATTTGCTACTATTCTAAATTTGCACAGAGAATTCCAGGGACGACAGCAGTGAGATGCCCTAATCCTGACATGAAAGTGATACTGGCCATAAATTATGCCACCACAGTAATGCTGACTGCTTTTATTGGTTACTCTGATAAAGATGCCAGGGGTTTCACACACAATTTTTACAGGCCATTCACTCCAACTAGTCTGTCATTTTTATGCTGCACATGAGCCTCCCTCCACCTCTCTTAATCCCCTCTCCTCCACCCATTTTCCCTTTACACTTAGGCATACGTTAAATTTCCTCCTAAAAAAAATATTGAAGTGTTTTACTTCGTCCGCAGCTTCCGCCATTATGTCTTTATGAGTGGTTGTTGCTGTGAGATGCAAAATAAAATCAGTAACTCATGTCTGGATGTCTGGGTAGATTAAGACCTGAGCCAATATAAAATTGATGAAAATTGCAGGGAAATTTTAAAATTTTGTGGAAAATTGCACACAGCAACACACAGAGAGAGAGACACACACACATTCTCAGAGAAACAGAGCGAGAGACACACTCAAAATACATGATTGCTGTTTTTAAGATTCTAAAGGAGCAAGACAGTATAGATCATGACAGATTGTTTCAGCTTATCCAGAATAGTAGAACCAGAGGACAGGGCCTGCGATTGAAAGGGGGTAAATTCAGAACGACTCTACTCAAACACTATTTCAGTGAGCGCATAGTGAACCTGTGGAACAGATTAGGTACGTTTCTTTTAGGAAATAACATGGGATATAGTACATAGGTAGTTTGGGACATATGTGCATCGGACCATCAGGATGGTAGAAGGTGAACTAGATGGACCTTACTCTTTTTTTTGTCCAGCACTTCTTATGTTCTTATGACACAGACACACACACACATTCGTAGACACAAAGAGACACACAGATAGGAGAGAGACACACGTACACACACACACACACGAGTGAGAGAGAGACAGACACAGGAGACACACGCACACACACACACTCGTAGACACAAAGAGACACACACACAGGAGAGAGACACACAAACACACTCACAGAGATTCACACATCGAGAGACACTCCCAAACATACAGAGGAGAGACACACACGCACACAGAAACGCTCACAAACTGCAACAACAACAACTTGGATTTATATAGCGC